TTACACCCCCAGGTCGAGTCGCCGGTGCACTAGCACTTGGTAGCACACGCTGCGACCCAACCAAACCATGGACGCAACAGCCCACGTCCTCCATGCCGCCGCCCAACTGGATGCCCGCGCTGGTGGCATGGGCGGCGACACTGGAACCCGTCCAGGCTCGTACAAAATTATTGGTCTCGTCCTGGCGATTGCATCGGGAGTCTTCATCGGCACGTCGTTTGTTATCAAGAAGCATGGTCTATTACAGGCGAACAAGAAGTACAATGAAGAGGCGGGAGAAGGCTACGGATACCTCAAGAACGCCTGGTGGTGGCTCGGCATGACCCTCATGATTGTCGGAGAGATATGGTACAGACTGCGAGGCAACACTTCCGAACATCCTACTAATACCTGGCAGTAATCTTGTCGCATACGCTTTCACCGACGCTATCCTCGTAACCCCCATGGGCGCCCTCTCCGTCGTTATCTGCGCTATACTGTCGACTATATTCTTGAAGGAACGCTTGAGCTTTGTTGGAAAGGTGGGCTGCTTCAACTGCATCATCGGATCTGTTGTCATTGCAGTGAACGCGCCAGAGCAGTCGTCTGTGGCGCGCATCCAAGACATGAAGAAATGGGTCATTGCGCCCGGCTTTCTCAGCTATGCAGGTGTCGTTATCGTCGCATGTGTTGTCATTGCTCTCTGGCTGGGCCCAAAGTACGGAAAGAAGACTATGATGGTCTACATCACCATTTGCAGTTTGATCGGAGGACTGAGCGTCGTCGCAACCCAAGGTCTCGGTGCTGCTGTAGTAGCGCAGGCTTCTGGCACATACGGCGGACAGTTTAAGGAATGGTTCCTCTATGTGCTACTCGTCTTTGTGGTTGTCACATTGCTGACGGAGATCATCTACCTCAACGTAAGTCCCTCGTTCATCCTTGGCCATGTGGAGTATGCTAAGCTTTGCCCAGAAAGCCTTGAATCTGTTCAATGCTGCTTTGGTAACACCAACCTACTACGTCTTCTTCACTTCCGCGACTATCGTCACCTCGGCCGTCCTCTTCCAGGGTTTCAAAGGCACACCGCTTCAGATCGTCACCGTCATCATGGGTTTCTTGCAGATTTGTTCCGGAGTCGTGCTACTACAACTCTCCAAGTCGGCCAAGGACGTTCCCGACTCCGCCGTCTTCAAGGGCGACCTCGACCAAGTGCGAACCGTCGCAGAGATGGAAGAACCAGAATACGAGCCCCGAGCCGACACCCTTCGTGGCGGTGCAGCAATCCTCAGATCACTGTCCAAGGCCAGGTCTCACAAAGAACTCGCCGAGGCGAAGAAGATTCAGGAAGAGCACATGGAACCGATTGGTGAGGGCGAGCAGGTGGAGTTTGACGGACTCCGAAGACGTAAAACGGTTCTCGACCCCAATCGGCCACCGACGCGCAGCGGCACCATTGTCCAAACCCGAACCATCCACCCCCCTCTTGGGATGTCACAATTCCCGACCGACGAATCCGACGACGACGACGACAACGCTAGCTTCCACCCCGGCTTCTTCCAACGACTGCGCTCCCGAGGCAAATCGACTAGTAGTCGCGGCAGCTCTCACGCTCCAGGGACTTCTGGCATGGGCATGCAGACTTTGCCATCCATCCCACAAGCCGACGGCGCATCGGACCGCGAATCAGACGCCGGATCCTACAAGCAAACTATCATGACCCAAGACACATCTTACAAGCCAATCGACACGCACATCCAGTTCGCCGCGCTCCCCGACCCGCAGTACCGTCATAGCCGCACCGATTCGAACGACTCCCTCGCCCCACCACGACCGAACCCTCACATCGCGAAACGCCAATTCTCCTTCCAAAACGTCTTCTCTCGGCACCGCTCAGAATCCACAGGCGAAGCGTCAAGTAGCAAAGTGCGCCCGACTAGTAGGCATAGTCGGAAGGGCAGTAGAGAGGGGAAAGCCGCAGCTACTGCTACCGAGGAAGAGAGATTGGGCCTTGTCAAGGGCGATTCAACGAACCTCCTTCCGATAGCGAGCCGTGATGATGACGGTGACGATGAGCCGGTCGGACCGCCAGGCTACTCGGATGACTGGGATATGCCGCGGACGTCTAGTCCAGGATTTGAGCCCGAGAGAGTACAGAATAAGCCGGCGATAAGAAGGGTGGATACTGATGGCTCGGAACTCAGTCCGAGAGATCCTAAGGAGTTTGAGAAGGGAGGTGGGGGCCCGTACTTATAGCGGTTAGGATGATGACCTTTTTCGTCAGTCCTTCGCGTTGTATCTCCTACTTGGCTTCTTGAATGTCGTTTTGCATAGTTTAGTGGCTTCTTTGTTGGGCGCTGTTGGTATATATTGAGCGTCGGCGCTTTCTGCAGTGTGGACTGGCGCGATATGGCCAGTGGATATCCTGCTGGTTTATGTCATGAAGACGGTCTTTGACGTTAATGAGTACTTTTATGTACACGAAGATGTTTCGACTGTCAGGTGAGTGTATACGTAGATAGCATGGAAAGCGACTGAGATACATGGTCGTGAAATATATATATCATGATGATCATCACCACCACTTTTGACCAGCGTGACTTTGCAGTGTCCGAGCGTTAGGCGCTTGGGTGTGGGTATATAAGCTCCTCTCGACTTCCTTCTTTCCTGTCACCATCCAGAAGTCATTTCTTCCCTTACCAAAAAGGAACCAGATCGGACCGATGTCTGCGGGCGCCCTGTTCCTTCCAAAACTACGCAACATCAAGATTATGTCTTGTTGGCAACTTCCTGGCGTCTTACTCCAGAAAAAAAACTAAAATGACTGCCTGGAACATACGTCAAAAAACATCGAGAAAGAAGTTTTATGACTTTTCCGCCAGCTCTGATCTTCGTCCCAGAAATGATACGCCGATCGTGCCATGTGCCTGGCGCTGCGCTCGAACAAAAACGTACTCGTATACTGCCATGTTCTGCGCCTCCGAAAATCTCGCAACCTCTGTCTCGAAAGCGGATTTCACATTCTCAAAAATGCGTTTCTCAATGCGATGATGTTTCTGGAAGTGGGCTTGAACTGTACCTTGGCTTCTACTCTCGATCAATTTCCAAATGACGGAATGATGTTTCGTATGGGCAGTGGGTGGTGCTCGGGTATAAATACCTCCTCGCGCCTTCTGCCGTTCTTCTTCTTCATCCACACAATTCTGTGGTTATTACCAAAAATTCGGGTGGCACTGCGTATGTCTGGGCACTCTTCCTCTTTTCCAAAATGACTATGAAGTCAAGACATGTCCGCGCTGCTGTACTCTTCTCAAAACCCTAGAGCCACTGTCGATGACAGGAAGATATGGATGAAACAAAACACGACGTGCCAGGGCCATGTGCCAGCGCTCTTTGTACCCTTTTCAAAGTTACATCTCCTTGCTGGGAATTTGAACGTCGCTTCAAAAGCTTCTTTCAAAGCATACATGATCTGCTTCGAGAGTTCGGCGGGCCTATCTCTTGAACCACAAGGTCCCACGTCTTTCTCTCATTCTCAGAAAAGCGATGAAGACTACCATATGTGTTCGAGTGCGATATAAGAGCGATTGATTACATGGCACTCTTATTCGTTCCTCATCCGCTCGATGGAGTTATTCTACCAAAACTCACACATGAGGCAAGAATGTTTCCTGTGCTGTTGAGAGATCTAAAGAAAGAGATACCAAAACATAGAAGCTGGGATCTGTGACCGTACTTCGCTTCTCTCCCTTTTCTTGATTGCGGAAATCGAAACTGTCGACGACTACCTTGATGCTGGGGCGGTATGAAAACCCTCACTTCCGTACCATTCTTCTGTCCTCGTCATCCACCTGAAGGCTTTACTACAACAAAAGCAATTCATACTATGGGCATGTTTGCTGCGCTGCGCCCAGTTCAGCCACTAAAACATTAAATCATTGTCTGCAAAGTTCAATGGATGTGCCACTTCTCTCTTCTATCCTCGATGCAAATTCCAAAAAGCGTGCCTCGCTCACGCATGTGATGTCTGTAAAGGACACCCGCACCCATGTATGCCTACGTCAGCGATCACATGCAAATCCGCGATACAGCAGTTTAACCTAAAACGCAGGCATCGGGACATCAGAATGAGCGAAAATACCAATATGCGAAGACAGCGAGAAGCTGCCGAGGTAGCCTGCACACAAGAACAAGATGCGCGCGGTGTGGTGACTTGGCGTGGTTGGCTTGCGGTGCGCAACACGGTCATCCTAGCATGACGCATCTTTACAAACCTAAATCATCGCGTTATCCACCACCGGTAGATGAGCATGTGTGCATCAACCCCGCCACCTGCCCGCTTCATGCTAGCTTATTGTGATGAGTTGGACATGTATATATCAAGTACCATCATGCAGCTCACCGTTGCAACAGTACCAATTAACATTTTCCATCTCTGACCATCTAAAACATCCACAATGTCCACCCTCTCCGCCCAAAAAGCAACGGCCCAAACCGTCATCGACGGCTACAACGCCTGGAACATGGACAAGATAATGGCCTACCGAACGGAAGACTGTACACAACAAGTCCTTCCCGCGTCCCTGGGCCGACCAGTCATGAACAACATCCAGTATCGCGAGCGCTTCAGTCAGATGATTCCACATTTCAGGAACTTCAAGGTAGCACACAAATATCAGCTTGGGAGTGCAAGAGACTAACGTCGCCTCAGGTCACCGTTCACACAGAGGTGCATGATGCAGATGCGCATACATGTATCATGCATGCGACGAGTACAGCAGACAGTGACATTGGGCCGTATGCGAATGAATACGCGCTCATCTTGCATTTCACGGACGATGGAAAGCAGGTCACCAAGTTTTTGGAGTTTGTCGACTCGGCTTTCTCCAACAAGTTCTTCAAGGAGCTGAGGGATGCAGGGCTTGGACCGCAGTAGGATATACAGCATAAATAGCGATACAAGACATGAGTACAAGATAACTCAGTTCAAACCGTCCTCACCTCCCTGATCTCCTTCCTCCATCCTACCGCTTGACCTCGAAATCACCTCCAGGCTTCCCTGGCGAGTGCACCTGCTCATGATTGTCAAACTCCTTGCCCGAGAACTTGCCCTCGCGAACTTTGTTCTGGTTCTTGTGCGCGGCGATGCTGTGTTTGGTGACGCTGTCGCCGTGGCGGTCTTCCACGGGCTTGGGGACGTCGGAAGCGTACTCGGATTCGTGGCGATGGCCTGGTTGGGTGGTATCATGTGACGCCGGGGGAGATGGGGAGGTCTTCGAGGCTGATTGCGCGGAGGAAGAGGACGTGGAGGATGAGGCGGAGGAGGAGGCGGAGGACGTGGATGGGGTGGTGGTGTAGTAGAGGGCTGCAGCGCCGGCGGCCGCGGTTGTGGTGAGCCTGAGGGAGTCAGTATGGTGTATGCAGCCAGGATTCAGTAGTAATATCGAACACTTACCATGTCAATCGCGATGATGTCTTCAGCGTTTCCTTGGTGCGCTGCTCATGGTCTGTCGCATATGGTCTCCTCGCTGCAGGGCACCTGGCCCGGCATGGTACGCGAGACAGAGCTCGTAGTGAGGTTGCCTTGGTGGTAAACATTATGTAGCTATTAAAGATAATGGAGTGTCTACGGCCAGTCCCAGCCGTGGATATGTATGCGCCATCTGCCCAGGTGTTGATGGCTGGCTGGCTCCAAGCCACGCTACGTCATCGGCTGTTTACGCGCCTTGGAACGTGGACGCGCCTGCGCACGTGCCTACGCACGCTATGCCACGAGGCTCCTGAAGCAGAGGAAGGAGGCACAGATCTTGGCTATTGCTCCTCCGCTCCACCACTACCACTACCACTACGTCTATTCAGTCAACGGCGGCAGCAAGTTAATCCAATCCTCGGCGTGCGTCACCCTCACGGCTACACCTCGGTAGCGCCCTGCGCCTTGCCGCAGCTAGTCTCCAAAGACCGACGACGATGCAGGCTCAGACAGACTGCATCACGTCTACAGGCCCACCGTCTGAGCACATCTCAGTGCTGGTCTTCCCTCCTGCGACCGCAGCCCTCTTATGACGCCTCTCATGCCGTCCTCGCCGCCGTTCTGCTCTGGAGGCCAGTGCAATAGCTTCATATACCACCAAATCACCCAATCCTTCACATACGACCATAGGATCTTGACACACAGCGCTTCCCGTTCGCTCAGCGGTACTTAAGCAAGATACCGGCCCGTTAGTAGCTTCGTGGGTGACCAGAAGCGAATCCGGGCTGTTGTATGTTTTTGCACATCCTTCTTTTTGCCCTTTTTTTTTTGCCCATGCTATAGCGATGACGCAGACTAGACCAGCTAACTCCTATTTGTACACAATTATGCTTTGTAGATAAGAAGAACTGGCAATTCAAGCGCCTAAAGCCGAACCCGTAGCGACACGAGCCCGCACCTAAGCCACTTCAAACCTCTATCTCTAGCCGTGTTCGGAGAATCGCGAGATGCCAAAGCTCGTACGCAACGGCTCTATGGTAGGATACCTATACGTCCGTAAACTTGCCTCAAGTACTGCTTGGCAGGTTGGCACTTTCAAGCCAGGATGTTATAGTGGGGCTCCGTTGTTTACGTCCGTAAACTAGACCTACTGACCGACCGGGGCAACTTTGTCACAACATCAGGCTCGGCAGCAATGTACAAGAAACATACACGGACAAGTCAAGGCATCATAGAGTACTGTCAACATTGACAGCGAATGGTGCCGAAGTAACGGTCTGTTGGACTCTGATAAATAATCTAGTGTAGGCGTCTCGGCCGGACAAGGTATCTACCAAGGTATATGGTGCTGCTTTCTCCTCTCTCTTCTTGCTACACCAAAACTACCACCTCTTCGTCTCAAACATACCAACAACCCCCTAAACGACTCTTCCAACCTACATACCTCAGGAACGATGCCAGGAATTAACATGACCGAGACTATCTCCGTCGACTACCTTGTCATCGGCGCGGGTGCTATGGGCATGGCCTTCGTCGATACCCTGATTTCCGATAAAAATGAGGCTACGGTAGCCATTGTCGATCGCTATTCTCGTCCGGGAGGTCATTGGACAGTTGCCTATCCCTTTGTCACCCTTCATCAACCGTCCCACGTCTACGGTGTCAACTCTCGACAGCTCGGAGACGAAAAGATTGATCAAGTTGGATTCAACAAGGGCCTTGCCGAGGTGGCAACGGGCGACGAGATTGTTGCCTACTACACCAAGGTCCTGAACAGTACTCTCCTTCCGTCCGGTCGCGTAACCTATTACCCACTGCACAACTACACTGGCGACGGAGAGTTTCAATCGATTACCACAGGGAGAACCATCCGGGTTGGACCAAACACTCGCATTGTAGACTCCACATACGTGAAGGTCACGGTTCCCTCTATGGGTCCACCTGTGTATGAGGTTTCAGACAAAGCCAATCTTGTCACACCCAACGCTTTAGCAACAACACTGAAGCGACCTTACGGCGCCTATACAATTGTCGGAGCCGGGAAGACTGCAGTCGACGCATGCTCGTGGCTCTTAGCTCAAGGCATTGCCCCGGACAACATTTCTTGGATCATGCCGCGCGACTCCTGGTTTATGGAACGCGCTACCCTTCAACCTCCAGAGACGACGCCCAACCCTGAACAACTGCAGGAAGAAAAGTCCGCTGCCATCATGGGGTCCAAAACTTCTCAAGAGATGTTCCATCGCATGGAGGAGCTCGGGCATGCTCACCGTCTAGACAAGAGTATCGAGCCGACCATGTTCAGGCACGCGATTGTGACAAAGGCGGAGTTTGATGAGGTCAAGAAAGTCAAGAACATCATACGGCAGGGACGAGTCAAGCGCATTGACCCAGACAAGGTCACTTTAGAGAAGGGCACATACACTCCTGTGCCTGACACTCTCTTCATCGACTGTACTGCGCCTGGTTTAGGAAACGTGCCGCCTACTCCTGTCTTCAATGGCAGAAACATCACGATCCAGAACATCAAGTTCTTTCAGCCCACGTTCAGCGCCGCTCTCATTGCACACGTCGAAGCCAGCTATGACGACGAAAACCTCAAGAACTCTCTTTGCGACCCTTTTCCGTACACTCGCATACCGGCGGAATATCCTACGACCCTTCTGGCTTCTATGAAGAACAGACTCAAGTGGATGGCGGAGCCTAAGGTGAGTGAATGGTGTGAAAAGTCTCGTCTTGACTTTCCCGTCATGGGTCCGCCGCCTAGGGATCCTGAGAAGGCCGCAGCGTTCAATGCTAGTATTGAGCAACGGGTGAGGGGGCTTTGTGATCACTTGGAACAGATGGCAAAGAACGATGCTGCAAGCGTAGCCTAGTTGTTGTTCAGAAGTCCTCTTTGGAGCGTGTCTTCTTTTTGATCGATCTGTTCGTTGAATTAATTACGCATCCGTATTCGAAATGAAACTACCTTACCAAACGTTTTCATTTTACCCATCTCTAGTCTTTGATCACCGCGTAATCTCACGTCAACCAGTCATTGTCGGTCCAGATAGTCATAAACGAACTATAAGCATTGCGCACCCTCTTTCCTAGGTTACATTATCTGTTCAAGAAGACACTTATGGGAACAGCCCACTTTGACGCAATTCAAGTGCGATGCCATACTTGAGCTATTGACTTCAAGAACACCACGATGACGCTGAGCGACTGAAATGCTCAAATCTTTTACAACTCTTAGCAAACCGAACGCAAAGAGTTGCTCGAATGATGAGAACCGCAAGTACATGTGCTCGCATTGGGAAAAAGGGTTATCACCAAACGATCTCTTTCCATCACAACAAACGTTATGACTACAACATCTCAAAGAAGAGGAAGAAGGGGAGTAAATCACCTCAGCCTTCCGCTGATCCAGTTGCTACCTCAATATCCGCCTATTGAAGGCCCTGAACGAAGTCGTAGAGTGCCTCATTGACCTCATCAGCTCGTTCAATATGGAGAAAATGGCCAGCATCCACAGTTCTAATCTGCATTGTCGGAGCGTATGGCAGCGTAGAACGTAACTGCTCCGACGGGATACCGACTGAATCCCTTTCGGCCGCGATGAACAGACTAGGCTGCTCAATGATTCCCGACATCGATCGAATCTCTGCGCTGCATTAGATCATGTGGAACAAAGCGGGCATGTGAGATCCGTCTTACCGTCCTCATCAGCCGAGTTGATGCCCCGCAAGTAAGATTTGTACCACTTCAGATTTGCCTCAACGCCTCCCTGTGCGCGAACGATGGTCTTCCATTGCTCCCGAGTCGAATTGGTGATGAAGTCGTTGCCGTATTCCGCTCTTCTATCAGCTGCGAGCCATTCTTGAAGTGCACCAATCGGGTTGAAATTCTCCGCCATTACTTTCGGTGCATTGAACGAGTAAGCGAGAGAATATAGGGAATCCAACTGTACTGTTGTAAGCTCGAATGCATGATGAGTAACAATGCTGAACGTACGTGTGCATCCAAAAGGACGTGTGCGTCATCTTCATCGAAGAAGTACCAGTACCCGAGAATGGGGTAGCCGAATGTTGCTTGTGAAATATTGTTATAAGCCTCCACGAAGGTTTGGTTGACGTCTATGCCGGGGGCGTTATAGCCGATATCCAGAAATGCAAGAGCTGAGAGGTACTGAGACTGGTACGTGTGAAAGCGGGAGAGTACATAAGCTCCGCTATGGCACGTTAGTCTAGCGGTCTTGAAACAAGATAACATATGGCATTATTGGACTTACAGGTCATGCGAGACTGCGATTACCTTGTCAAGACCTTCGCAGTCGAGTAGTTCAGCAACTTCAGATGCCATCGTCTTCAGACTATAAGCCTCCAGTTCGACGGGCTTGTCTGTACCACCAGTGCCTAGAAGATCTGGGGCTATGATGCCGTAGCCGCGCCTGGTAAAGTATTCGATCTGGTTGACCCAACCGTACGAAGTATCTGGGAAGCCGTGAAGGAACAAGAGGTACGGCTTTTCCTTGTCGAATGGGGGATTGATGGCGTAGCGGTATGTCGTTCCTGAAACAGGAAGCTTGACGTTCTTCATCATGCGTACATAGCTGGTGTTTGCAACATCCGACTAATGCAAGTCAGCGTCTCAGTATCATTTGAGGAAGCTTGGTGCTGGTAAACTTACGGTATCAAGACCCACGTTGAATTGACATGTCAGATTCTGATCGAGTGTGAGTATTGTCCTTCCAAAAACGTATTGCTTTGAACCCGTACCTGTGCGCGGCTTTGTTGTGATGGTACTGCCCCTGACGCAAGTATCAGACTATTCGTCAGGAGAAGAGCTTTGAGAACAGCGATCATAGCTATGGTCGAGATGGTAGGAGATGTGTCTGGTTCTGAAAAGCGTTGTTGTGGCGGAGCCGAGTGCTGGTATCTGAGAGTTCTGCAAAAGTAGCCATCTTATACGAGGCGCAAGCTGGTGCGCAGGAACTGTTACTACTGTTGACTGATCAGTATGATATTAGCAATGCTTCCATGGCGGAAAACTGTTATCCCGGCCGTGTTCGGCACAGGTGTTGTTACGGCCGAGTGCTGCGCAGGTCCTTCCGACAACTTCTCTACACCTAACCAGGCTTAATTTAACCTACGTATCTGTCTATTCTGTTCTACTCAATTTTAGCTATATCGGGCCATGCGTAGAGGACCTGAAATGGAACTGATAGCGCGCTAGGAGAAACCGGCGATAGCTGACGTGGTTGTTGCTTTATGGTCGCTGTCAGGCAGGGCCATGCGGGGGGCGAGGCTAAGCGACAACCGGCGCTCACAGCTGCCCCGCCTGAACCGTCTGCGTTAGCCTCGCACACCCTTAGCTAAACCTATTCAGCTATGCGAACACGTTATGTGCTGGAATACTTGTTTGGCGGTGAAATTGAATTAACATTCTTGGGTCGCAATGGTAGTAAGAGCTTCAAGGGTGACGGTAAGGTGTTGATGTTTTCACGTGCTGCCGTCTCGGTCTTTTACTACAGCTCCGCCCTTTAACCGTAGCTACCACCGCCCCGCCTATCAGCCTCATCGTCAATCTTGTCAATTATTGCGCAATGATGCCAAGTCGCAGGCTCTGCTACGCGATAACAGTCAGACCTGATATATAGTACGTCGGGGTAATGTCGTCTTGAGAAAGATGATTGAGGTAATGCTAGAAAAGATGAAGTTGACCAGTCTTCTTTTCGCTACCGCTACATGCTTGGCATACCTTGCTCCACTTGCCAGAGCGGCGAACGAAGCAATTTACCATGCGGGTGCTGCCCAAGACGCCACATCATTTGCAATCCAGGTACCTGACGAACTACAAACAACATGCTGCATCGCGCTTAACGCTAGTCCAGTATGCATATCCAATATCTCAATGGCAACAAGCTGTGACGAACATCTTGGATGCTGTCGATAGACCAAATACTCTATGGCCGTATCATACACTTTCCGGCCCTCTAAATCGCACGATAGTCGGCCCGAATGCAGACACGCTGTATATCTGGGTGGCTATCGACTTATCGCATGAAGACCTCGTCTTAACCATTCCCAATATCAGCGATGGAAGAAACTGGATATGGCCCTTCTATGACATGTAAGCTTCATTGAAGAATGACAGTGTATGACAGAGACTGACTGATCCCAGTTATGGCAACAATTTTGCTGGGCTATCAATCAACGAGAACTCACCACCGGGGGACTATTTGATCAGACGTGCAGACGATGCTCTCGTTCAACCAGGGATTGAATACACTACTCCGACCGAATCATCGCGCTACGAAGGCGTGATATCTTATGCTACAACCTATGGTATAATGCTTGGTCGTATACTCGTCCGTCAAAACACCACGGAAGATATTGCGACTATACGCAGCTATCAAGATCAGACGTTCCTCAAAACAACTCTTCGCAATATATCTCAGCCTTTCACAGCACAAGCACCTAGACTGTCGCGCGATCTCATTGACACTTCGAACGCCACCGACAGAGTCACGGGCTACCTAGAACTGCTGGCCAAGATTGGGCAGTTCAACCAACCTGACGTAATCTCAGACCGGTACCAAGTAGCGTCCAAACTTGGGCTTGCTGGCATCGCAGATGGGATCTACTCTCCACCTCGCACGGTCAACCTGACTGCCGCGATTATTGCAGCGAACGCCAGTATCTCAGCAGCTTACTCCCAAAACCTAATCAATGTCGGCAACAACTGGGTAATCCCCAAAGTAAAATGCCAAGGCATCTTCGGCGTTGAATACGGCTGTCGTGCATACCGCGCACTCCGCGGTTATCTGGGTCTGGTACAGTCCGAAAACCTCTTCATCACAAACAAATCCGACAATTTGACTTTGAGCCCGACGTCGGCCTTTCTCTTCACCTTCTTTGGCAAGCCCCCGATCAAGTCGACCGGGTTCTGGAGTTTGACCGTGTATGGAGCGGACCAGTATCTAGTGCCCAATGAGCTGGGTAAATACGTCATCGGCGACCGAAGCACGCAGCTGAAGTACGAGGATGGAGGCCTGGTGTATGATGATGATGGCGCGAATCCCGCGAACGAGACGGCGGATGGGAAATTCCAGGTCCTACTGCAACCTGCTGACATTCCCGCACCGGATAACTGGACTAGCAAGTGAGTTTCCCGCCATGCAAATCGATCCATGCGACAAGACATGGGCTGACTGGAGACTTTTGGTACAGCTGGCTTCCTGCCCCAGCGGGTGGTGGTAAGCTTCTGTACTCAATACGGTTCTATTCACCAGCAGAGGCCTTCACTAATGGCGAATACGTGTTTCCAACTGTTGAAACTATTGATGCAATTAGGGTTTGAAGATCCTTTGTTCTTGCAGTTGACTGTTCAGGGATCACAATTGTGGGAACGTTGTTTCCAGCATCTCCAATAACAATGTAGGCTTGCAAATATACAGAGTAAAACCTGTTACTGTAACACGTTAGCAATAGTTCTTAGAGATGCAATACTTCTCTCTTTAGTAGAGTATCTTCTTACATATAAGTTATATAGAATATAAAAGGTATAGTTAGCTTACTATAAGTTATTTTTAAGTTACCTCTAGGTTATTATAGTACTATAAAATAGTAATACTAAACTATAAGCTTTAAATTTTATATATATAGTAATAAGTTAAAAAAAGAAGTATATAAAGTATACTATAGTATCTTTATTACTTTTATAATATATATATAATTATACTACTTATACTTTTTTTTTTTATAATAGTAATTATTTTTATAATTATCTACTTTAATATTTACTTTTACTTAGCTTACTTACTAACTTTATATTTTACTAGTAAACTTATTATAAAAATACTTAGTATTTATTAGTAACTTTACTTATTACTTTTAGCTTAAAAAATATAAAATATAAAGTTATACTTACTTTTTTTAAGTACTTAAATAAGTATATATAATACTTATTTATTAAATATACTACTTACTTATATAAAGATAACTTTAGTAGCTAAAGCTTTTTTTTTAGCTAAGAAATTAGCTATATAAGGCTTACTTTTTTACTTTTAATAATATACTTATATACTTACTTTAGTAAAAGCTACTTTTATAAGTTAAATTAGCTTTTATAGTAATATTAAATAATATATAAAAACTAATATTATTTTTATACTTTATAGTTTATAAGTTTTAATATAGTATAAAGTTTAAGCTACTTAAGCTATTTTAAAATAGTAGAAACTAGTATATAAAAGGTAATATTACTTAGTATAAAAACTAAAATTAAGTAATAAATTATATTTTAAAATAAATTTAATATATGTTACAACCGCTTAGTTGTAGACTGCTCTAGATCTCTCTAGACCTCTCTAGACTACGCTAGCCTACGCGAGCGCAGGCTCTACTAGCGTAGAAACCTAGAGAAACCTCTTATAAGCGACAGCTCTACCTAGATTACTTAGTAGAGGTTCGCGTTTGTATAATCCTGTGTTAACCTATCCTACTTTTACAATATATTTAATTATATAGAGCTAAAGCTACGTTAGTAATAGTAATACGCGTACAAATAACTAAATACTCTGCTCTAAGAAAACCTTATAAGACACTAGCTCTTATATTATCTAAGAATATACAACTAATGTATAGCCCGTAAAAGGGCAGGCGTCGATAGAACTCTAATTACATACCCCATAGAGTCAAAAGTATAAGCGAAATAGCGGTCAAGAAGACTCAAAGGTAGAAATACAAACAACAGTAAAATAGCACAGTAGCCGATTATTGCATCAAAGTTTCGAGCATTCTGCCAGCCTAACACTACTCCTTCTTCTGGTGAGAGCTGCTGAACCTTGCGTAATTTGCTCCACCTCAACAAGACGTAGTACAGAAGAGCAAGGAAATGATACCACCTTAACGTTATGGACTGTCTTTGGACATGGTTTTCCCTTGGTGATGAGGATGTGAGGTACGCTAAAAGCATCGGCGTTGGTTCATACATAGCATCGAGGAGATTTGAGCCCCCGAATAGCAGATGAAACGTCCAGTAAGGGACGCGAGTGATGCGGTATCCAGTTGATTGAAGGACCGCGATAGCTTGCTCAGTGATCTCATAGAGAACGATCCAGGTATCTGGATCATGACAGAAAATTTCGATCATTGTGACTTTTCGGCCTTGGATGAGCTGTGGTACCGTTCGAAGAGCTACTCTACCACAAGATAGATGGTGAACTCGTTGCAGAGTTGACAGATCTTTATAGATCCATGCATTGAAGATCTGTTCGATATCGGAGCTGTCGTCAAGGGAAACAGGCAGAATCCGGGCATCCCAAATGCAGTCACGAAAGATCTTGTTCTTATGGAAGAATGTCATGAACAGGTAGCGACGAGTTATTCCCGAGCTGAGCAGCACAAGGGTTCGGTTGACCGGGTCTTGCGGGGAGCCTGGATGTCGATTTCCTTCAAAGGTACGCGATCCACGAGGCCATGAACCCGAGGGGAATATTTGTGATACTTCGAGGCCTTTCGGTAGCGCGCTCAAAATACAGGTATTGTCCTTCAGGTAGTTTGGCGAGTAGTCAAGAAGCGGCTTCATGCTGATGTACATTGGCTGCACTTTTGCAAGAAGCAAATCAGTAAAAGGAATGAACTGTAGTTCGCCACCTCGCCTCTGATATAGGTGGTTGTTGCCCGTCTGCTTTACCGGAAGTGCCAAACTACCAAATGTGTCATACCGGCGTCTGCAATTGAGGACCGCGAGGAGTTCGCCCTCACTGCCTCCTCTGATGAGTGGTAGACTGATCTTGAGGCCTTTATTTGTTATGAAATACGGCTTCATCGGACCTGGTTGAATGCTTCGTATGACATTGTCACAAGCGGCAAATGCAGCTGGCGAATGGGCGAAAAAGCTGCCACTATCAATTTCAGCAGACGGTGAAGTCCAAGCCAATATTGACTGATCATCCGAGTGCTTCACGATCTCTTCTTGTAGCCTCTGGAAGGCTTTCGCACCTTCGCCGTAAAGTAGAGGCATGTTGATGTCGAAGACCCCGAGCAAGCTATAAGCCCTGTCTTCTTTTCGTTTTGTCCTCCTTTTTGAGGCCCACGACATTCTTTCAGCAATGCTCGCTTGCTTGAGTAAGGAGATATCTGAGCCAAGGAAGTCTTTGTTGATGTTCGTGATCTCGCTGATCTTTTCTGCTAGCTCCTCTTTCGTCCCGATCTTGTTCCACTCAGCGTCGTAGAACTCAAGCTTAGGGGGTGCTAATAGCTCTTGAAGTATCCATCCCCTCGTAAACCATTTTGATTTGGTGAACGCGGTGTGCTTTTCAGCCTCATCGATATCTGCACGGACATCGTCTAGGTAGACGTAACAGACTTGAGAGTTGCAGTACCAACGCCACATGGAGTTTATCGACTCGGAAAGCTCTGCACTGCTACTTTTGTCGATGCAACAGGTATCAATCCAAAACAGCTGGTGGCTGTCACACTTTGCTTGTTTTCCACAGCCGCGGATTTTCGCGTATCCTCTCTTGTGCCTGTACGTGTGCTCCATCACATCTTTGAAGGTGACCTCTTCACGGTCTTCACCCCATCTATGCGAAAGTATTGCATACGGCTCAGTCTCTTCTGGGTGGTCCTTAAGCCTGAGGTCTCCATCTTCATTCATCTCTAGTAGACGCATGATCTGGACGTAATTTTGCTGTCAGTACTTTGGGTAGCATCTGAGAATATGAACAATGGAATGTAAAGGAAAGGTTAGTGGTGAAACTGATGTTGTGCGAAGAAGAACAGAAGATGACATTCGACGTGGTTGTCGCTTTATGACGCGGGGCGGTGATGAACGCAGTCAGCTAGGGTTAGCAGGGAGGCTAGGCAACAGCCGGCGCCCACGACTGCCCGCCTGAACGTCACCAGCTCAACCTTTGGGAACCTTGCCTCTCCGCCTCCACAAAACTAACACCCAGCTTTAAGAACTATCTGCGCAATAGCTTTCCCCGGGGCATGTCAACTTCAGGAAAAACTGAACACCCTGGGGTCTACACTTTCATCGCTTAATCTCGTATTCTCGCGGGAATGTGAGAACCTTCGGCATTATAGGAAAGAAATTGCCCGTATCGCCAGCGATCCTGCAACGCGTTCAGACTAGCGTTTTTCGAGTAAAGCCGAAGTGGTCTCTAGTTATTTATTCACCTTGATTCCCCCTCGTCGCCGGACTCGACCATATCCACAAGTCATCATCTCTTAGAATCGATACCGCATCCAACCCTCGTTCTGCGCCTACAATGCCGCTCCTCGCCTCTATTACGGTCTTTCTACTAGCCGCCCTCCATGTCTACATCATGGCCTTGGAGATGTTCCTCTGGACCTCACCAGCAGGGTTGAAAGCGTTTGCACTCAAGCCTGACTTTGCGGCCAAAACCAAGACCATGGCCGCCAACCAAGGCCTGTACAATGGATTCCTGGCAGCTGGCCTCTTGTGGTCTCTGGTCCACCCCAGCGCTGTGTTTGCGCCTCAAGTCGCTCTGTTCTTCGCGGGTTGTGTATTTGTGGCCGGTGTTTATGGAGGGTTGACGGCAAATACCAAGATTTTCTTCATTCAGGGTCTCCCTGGAGCTCTGTGTCTTGCTGCGGTAGTCTTTGTGTAGGCGATCTTACCCTAGCTATGCCTATCAACAAGTCTAAGACTAAATAAATTAAGTGATACGTCTAGCTGTGTGATGTGCTTGTCTGTGAGATACGTTGCTACATTACGAGGACCGAGCTAGCACAGTTCATCATCCATTTGTCGACGTACTCTTCTGACCTAAGTGTATGTCGCGACCTCGGACCGACATAAAGAGAATAAGTCAACCTCCATTCCGTCGATTGACAGTGATGTTAGAACTGCTGACCATAAAGCTAACGCGCAAAAGGGAAGAACACTACGCAAAAGAACGTAAGGGTTCTTTAGAGAGCTATAGGATATTAACGTACATAACAGATGTGAAGGTATATTCAATTAATATAAAAACTTGTGTATGCTATAAGCGCCGCAATGCATTCGAGATCATTCCCACTTCAGCGCACCAAACGTCATCACCTTGTTACCGATATCGTGTACTGCTAAGACATTCCTGTGGAAGTTGGCTCCGAGGATATACGGCAGGTCGCCACCCCAGGGCGGAGTAGATGGTTCCATGAAACCCATTATGCATGTCTGCTTCTCCTCGTCGATTACGCCTAGAGTACCGTCGACGAGAACGTCTGATGAGGCGAAGGGAAGATCCGTTCCGTTGACGCGGATGGCGACAGGAGGTATCTTCGCACTGCACGAAGCCACCCAAAGCCCGTCATCTTGACTGAAGGAAGCTGGAGGGTCGAAAGCTGCGGCGATTGTCTCTACAAGGGCCTTCGGAATCATGGTGTAAGCGGTACCGGTGTCCAGGATCGTGAACCGTTCTTGACTGTCGCCGTAATGGGTGCCTGCGGAGGTACCTGGTGCCCAGGCAATGAACTTTCCGTCGACCACAAACCCATCAGGTCGGATGACATAGTGGACATACTCGTTCTCCAGCTGGTAATGATCAAACGTCTCTTTGAGGATTGGCGTGGTAGCGTAGGCACCCGTGAGCGGCAACGACGATGACGATGGCGCTCCTCCTATCGTAAGGAAACCTGTAGCTGACAAGTCCGCGTCGTCTTTGCCCCTCTTGCCGAGTACGACCGAGAAGATGGGCTTTGCCACCAAGCCTTGGTCATAGGCGGTCTCCAGCCATGGTTTGACAAAGATGGGCTTTTTCCCGCCGTCTTGAGACGGGTCTGCGCCCTCAAAGATGGCGGTGGTGGCACCGAGTCCCCAGCCTAGTCACTCTCGTTAGCAAACACTCGAAGCAGACAACATGCCTCACGTACCCATCAGCCCACTAGTTAGATTGCCTGCGCTCAGCCAGTAGGTCCTGCTAACAAACGACATCTTCTGATCCTTGACCGTCACACCTCCAAAGCCAACGTCTTCAAGACCCACAATGCCAGTCGCAAACTCCCCTCCGCCATATGTCACGTTGAAGTTCTGGTCCGCGATTTGGCCGCCAGAAAAGCTTTTGGGGCCGAATTTTGGAAATCCGCAAGTGGGCTGAGATCTACGATGAGGAAAGTTCAATATCAGATCCAAGGTACCAGACGAGAGTTGGGTAATGCGTTGGACTTACTGTTGCGTTCCGTTTACGTCTACACATACGAAATCGGCCTTTGGTACCCAAAAACTGCTGCTTCCAGTGTCGATCAAAACCTGAAGCGTCTCCGTACCGATGGTCACGTCAATGGCATATTGCGCTCCGTCATAGATCGTCCGTAATGGCCCACCGCTCTGGCGTTTCGCAAGTTGTCTGCCAGCGCCGGAACGCAGCTTGAGGGGAATAGTTGAGTCGACGACCGGTATACCACGCTCTTTGAGTGCTAGAGAATGAACGTCGGATAGGGAAACTACATCGCGATGCGAGAGTGGGTGTGCTGGTGAGCTGGATGCAAAGGCAGAAAGGAATGCGACTGCCGCAAAAGCTACCTGTTGGGTTTTGCGCGTCTGCATTGTTGGGTTTGGCGATGATTCTGAGGTTTACAATGTAATGTGTAAAACAAACTTTACGAAGAAGAGCGAGCGAACGGGAGGAGGAAGTAGTACAACCTCCCCCCCTGGCTCGGTGTGTAAGCTTGGAAACGGTCCGTAGACAATACCGAAGAGAGACTTAATCTTACCGCCGGTGAGCACGGTCGACATAACACCGAGATTAGCGCCGTGACGCCATCATTCGTATTGGCTGATACGAATAGAAAACCACGAAAGAGAGATGGACCGAACATGGTATGTATTGTTCGATTTTGAGGCTCGAATCTGCGTCCGCTCAGCCCTATACAAGCATCGCACTGAGGGCGCTATTGTATGTTTGCTTTTGCTTCTTTTTGCTCTCTTTTTGCTCATCATCACAACACCTTCGGAGTTCTCACGAATGCGATGCGCTACACAACATGCCGCTTTACGGAGGGTAACGCGATTCGATTTTAACCGAATTGACTTCTGGTGTACGTCATCGTCACCGTCAGAGCTGAACCATCAGCATTGCAAGTGCCCGGACAACCTTAATCAGTGCAAACCCGTCAATTTTCCTGCCTTCGTAGCTTCCTAGAGCACAACGCTTCCAACTACTGTTCTGCGTTCTTCTCGAATGGTATCACTTCGTCGACTGTGCCGAAGCCGGCTCTTCGCGCTACAGAAACGCTGTTCTCGAACCACTCTGTTCCGGACGTAGTCTGCACACCTGCCTGTGAGCTGTCAACGTTCTGCACATCGACTTGCTCATCATGCCTTCTCAGAAGGAAATCTGTCTCCTTAACTTCTTCCCCTCTGACTTCAGCCAGCTCTCCAAATCTAACCTCCATCCCACGCAGCTCTTCCGAAACATTGTCATATCCGCCCAGCGTACCTGAACCTCTCGTAACGACCGCTTCGAGTGAACCGCGTCCAGTAGTCGTCATGAGAAGCTGCATGAAACCTCCACTGATAGCTGAGACGCCGTGGTTTTGGACGTAGAGAGCTATGAGCCCTAGTACTAAGATTGGTATCGCTAGGGCGAGTGAGAGACCGTATGGTAGGAAGAAGGCGAGTTTGTTCTCGAAGCGGTAGATGTTGAAGGTGCGGGTCTCTGTTCCGTTGACGGTGTCGAATCGCTGATTTAGGGCCAGTGCGGAGATTGTGGTGTTGATGAGGAGCTCGTTGGCCATGTCAGGGTCAAATGCTGGGCAGTCATAATTCCGATCGACTTCATGGAGTCGTTGCTCGAAGACACCGAAGGGCCAGAATTCATGCCATAAATTGGGACTCTCCGTCATCCGCATGGGCACCGCTTCGAGCACACACGTTTCCACCACACTACCATTTCCAATTGTATATGGTTTCGTATCACTCGACTTGCTGGGGTAATCAAATCGGAGGACTTGATTATTGTTTCCAGACTGGTTAAATTCTTTCGCAAAGTTCTGATATACCAACACAGCGTCGGAAAGCTGTAACCATCGCTCAAAAGTTCCGTTAAAGCTTCCAAAATCGCTAGTGTAATCTGGGATGAATTCCTCCTCTTTGAAAGCCCAAGAGACATGTTGTGTTCCCCCAGAGTGTGAGATGGTGACGTAGTATTTCCGTATTTTTGGACGACATACAGTTTCGGTGATAGGGACAATGATGTGCATCCCAGAGCCGGGAAAGTCGACGTCCTGGCCAAGTTCTGATGGCGAGCCATTGATATTGGGATGCCATTTGTTTTTGTCTAAGCACGGCCAATACTGCGGCGTATCCTGGCGGTGAGCCACGCGTAAAGCGATCGATGTGTTTCCAGGGAAGGGGCCTTCCCCCACGATGTTCTTCAACTCGCAGTCGGGTTCATTATATTCTATCCGATAAGTGGGGTCTTGCTCATTCAATTGCAAGATTGTACTTACAATGGAGCGGTTCGTAGTCTCGCAATCTAAGGTAGTTCCCCAGAAATCCAGTCCATATGAGCTGTTCTCTTTACTTGACTGCTTCAACCTTGAAATTTCGCCTACAATCAGGTTTGAGCGTATGATATAAGCCAAGTCAGGGTTGATTCGGTCAGCGAATGTAGTACAAGTTGCTCGCAGCGACGCATTCTCTGCAAGGTCCGGGGAAAAAGACTTCTGGCAGTCGTGAGTTGAACAACCATACTCGCAACCAATCCTGGCTATAACATTGTCGTCCACAATGTCTTGGAGGGTTCTGTGATGGAAGACGGACACATTGAAGCTTTGATCGATTGAGGAAAGCTGTAGTCCGACGACTAGAGTACCCGGAGGATATAGCGTTGCAATGGGTACAAGCCAGCAAAACATAGCTACGGCGACAAGCATTGGCGTTCTGAAGTACAAGTGGTAGTTGAGAAGACGCAGCGGATTTGTTTGCATTTGAAAAAGATCTTCGATTAGGCTGATCTGCATATTGTAAACTTCGAGTCCGCTAGATGGACTGAGAGGAATGGCACCTTGAGAGCACGCTTTCGAAATGTTGCCCAAAGACATTGAGTATAGCATGTCCCAATGCTTGCTACTAGTGCAGCACGAAACGCGGTAACTAGCACTAGCGATACCGTAGTAGCGTAGGCTTGTGGGACTGTCGTGGTCTTTGCGGAGGGCATAGAGCCTGAGAATATGATACGACGGTCGAGGTATGCGAAGAAGCAGTAGTGTGTTGCTGCACAAATGAATGCTGAGTAGACTCTGTTAGCATGAGGAACAAGCAGTCTACAACGCTACTTATCATACTTACATATAAAGTAGAAGCCTAGTATCGTGACGGGCGTTATCCATGTCCGTTTCCACCTCGGGCATCTACCGAGTAGAGAGCCAGGCGAGTATTCGATGGAACTTCTAGTCTGGTCGGAAGAATCTGGTCTTTCCGACGATTTCAACGCCGCATCTGAAAATGAAGATGAAGTGGCAGCCGAGACTGGGTCGAAACTTGATCGAAGCACTGGGCTGACGTTGAAACCTGAGCAGATGGACTCAGTTCGCGATCTCGCCGCAGCCTCGTTTCGTTCATGAGACTCATTTCGTTCGAGTGGGCGTCCGCTCATGACGGTCTCCTGGGGCGAGGAGTTCGTACACTGGTGCATTGTTTACGGTAGATTGATCTCGCTATCTCTAGTCGCTTCGAAGACAGCTGCTGAGGTGGGAAGAGAAGATTGAAGACGGATTGCAGAGGTTCTCTCAAGGCTGAATCTGGTATCAGACACAGCGGCGCAGCAGGTAATCCGGCTGATTTGGGGGCCTGCCAACGATTCGGCCCCACCATTCCTGTAAGTGAGATGATGTCAGCGCTGCGGTTGTACTCTCTATTACTACCATATTATTCGGTTCACTCTGTCGTTCCTGAGTAAGGAGACCGTCATGCCATGTCACAGTGTCGATCAAAAGTATTGCGGAATGCGTTCTTACTTGAATGGGTACCCCTCAAATGCGATGCGTGCACGTCGCGCCAGAACTCTACAACAGGCCAGAGTCCCATCAACCTGTCATCGCAAAATCTTCGTGGCCTGTCTTCCATTCCGCTATACGAGCGGAGAGCGAAGGCGGAAGGAAGGCAACGGTTTCATGGGGTTCGGTAGGTTTTTGCGACACTGTACGACGGAAAAGAGACAGGCTATAGGCGAAGGGAGGCTGGGACTCGAACGGCGGTGCGGGTATAGTATGGATGACGTGTGTATATGTCGCAATCACAGGCGATATCTGTGTATGTACGAAAGAGTTCGACCGCCATTCAGTCGCATGACTGCCGAATGCAATCTCTTGGCAGCGATTTGGTTGCGCAAAGAGAAGGAGCAGTACGGGAGCGAACATGGCAACGTGTAAAGGGCCACATGTTGTCGCTGGCTACTTCAGATTAGCTGGATGAGTCGAGTTCTGGTGGGCGCAGTGCTTTTGCGGCACACGGTGCGTAGAGCAGGGGACAATGACGACGCAGGCGTCGAGCACATATCGTTAGCGCATAATTGGACCCTGCCCAGCCCCGCGCTTTTCCAGGGGCCTTGGAGATGGCCCGCCACACTCCAGCAGCCTCGCATACACCCATACTGTACTACCGGCAGCAACTGTCGTCGCTTGCGCACTTCCTTACAGTCAGAATTGTTCTTGATCCCGGGGTTATCCCATCAACTACGTCCAGGTGTTGGCCGCTCAGGCGATCACAGATTAACAGGTACGATGATGATCCCATCCAGCGTGTTCCGCTGGGATGATATTGAGTTACGACACTTTATCCCTCGATGTTGTTCTTTTCTACCTAAATCACCGAGCTGATTCAATTGTAGACATCACTGGCCATGATCCATCGCGAATGAGCCACCCATGAGTTCCGAATCCACACTACACCCTCTACGTTGAAGGTCTCTCGAACCAGGGCTATCGCAACCGAAAGAACCCGATCAGATGGAACACCCGGCAGCAGCAGAAGTGGAATGGTCTATCGCGGCAGAAAGAAAATCATAGCCTTTCAACACAGCCTTCCACCCCTCCGATTCGGGATTGCTACTGAGGTCGCAGATATGCGGCGCACCCTCGACGATAGCAAGGCCAGATAACACACCTTTCATCACGAGTGCCTCGTACGTGCCTTGCGACTGCTCCCAGGGGATCAAGTCATCGCTCGTGCCATGAACAAGGAAGGTCGGCGTCTTGTACTGGCCTCTCATAATCTGTGCGCGTGGGCTGGCTCGGATGATTTCCTCCAGTGCAGGCTGTGGGAGAGCATTCCAGTCCTGCGAGTCTAATTCGTTGGCCTTCTTTCTACTGGGGAGGCCGCCGAGAATGACGGGGAGCGTCTGCGCTTTCCAATTGATGTGTAACACGATGCGACAGCGGGCATCTGTACCAATCCGAGGATCCGAGAGTGGCTCCCATGCCCCGACGATACCGTAATTGGTGATTGGTACGTCTTCGATGGATTCAAGTACATCATACTCCAATCCTGTGTCTTCGGCGCCATTGGGCTGAATAGGATGTCTCCACCCTAGATGCACATGTCAGCGTGTGAGTCCTTCTAGCCACAACAAGCTTTAGCGAACTTACACTCATCCTCATAGTCTGTTGGGCAATAGAATGCCAGTATCGCTTCCGGGGGACGCAGTCCCCTCTGAGGCGCCGTCCACGCCAACGACATGGCCAGCTGCCCTCCAGACGACCATCCCACGACTACGACTCGCTCACCATCGATTTGCAAACCGGGCGCGCAATTGAGCTTCATGTGCGGCAAAATGTTGCGCGCCCAGTCCAACGCATCACACACATCCACCATTGGACCCTCCACGAGCTTGACTTCGGGACACAAGCGATGGTCGAGGCTGACGGGGAGGAAGCCCTTTTCGAGGAGAAGTCTCGTTTGTGGCGGACGAATATCCTTCCTCGAGAAGATGATATGACTGCCTCCATGGATCATCAAAGCGACGGGCAGCTTCTTTGCTGGTGGATGGACGGGACAATACACGTCGGCGTGTATCTCCTGGTTGCCGATCGTCTTATACACGACCGTCTCCAACACTGCCTTCCCCGACGTCTTCGTCTCTGCTCTGCCGTTGATGGATTTCACAACTGGAGCTTGAGGAAAGGCGCCGATGAGTCGTACTGTCGCTGCCTCGAGTGTACTTCCATCAGACCAAAGAACACTCTGGAATCCAGCCTCTTTCATCAGGCCCTGCCATCGCAGCTCGTCGATCAAAGCGTGGGTACGACCGTCTTCGAACAACCACCAGCCCTCGAATAGACCGACGACAATATCCAACCAGAACATGTTTTTGGTGATTTCGACAAGGGTGAGAGCACCATCTTCTCTCAGCATCTGGTGCAAATGCTTGAGAGAAATGTCCAGCTTTCGAGTCGCATGAATGCAGTTCGTCGCGATGATGGCGTGGTACTCGCCTTGCTGAGCTTCAAGTGGGGGTTTCTCAATATCCATGACCTCAAATATCATGCCTTCGACGCCCTTGAACGTCTTCCTCGCGGCACTCACGAGAGAGCTGGAAATGTCGGTGAAGGTGTATTCAAATGCAATGTTGTGGGCTTGGAGATGACTGATTAGATATTTCGTCGTTCCGCCGGTACCCGCCCCAACTTCCAGGATCTTGAACTTGCCACTCCCGGTTGCACTGGTGAACGCTTTGAGCAAGAAGTCTCCGAGGAGAAGTGTGGGCGTCCGAAGCAGGGGCCAGTTTGCATACATATCCTCCAAGGTATGCTTATTCTCTCGGTCTCCGAAGATGAGCTGCAGACCGTTCGTTTCGCCTACGAGGCAGGAAGCAAGCTTAGTACCAATGACTTTGACGAGCTTGTGAACATTTGCGCTCTCGGGATGTCGAGGAATAATGGCTTGATACAGGAGCTCAGCAGGCGAGGTGTCGATTGCGATACCCGTTCGATAGTATCTTCCCTCCGTAACAGAGATCAGACGCGCATCCTCCAAGATACGATAGAGCTGTCGTACAAGCTGTTTGTGCGCGGGCAGGACTTTATCGTGTACGTCAGGGACTGCGCAGCCTGGGCGCATAGTTGTTAGGTTGCAATCGAGTTGAGCGAAAGCATTAACAACATAGGCAAGGACGAGCTTCGCCTGATCGGGGTACACATTGGACCAGAATCCTGTCGCCCTGGTGCCAACTGCGAGCTGGTCATAATTGCCTCGTACTTCACGAAAGGCTTCGTAAGCCGACGATATCGACGGTCGACTTTCTGGTACCGTAACGATCTGAGTAGATGCGGATGGAAATGCCGGCCCGTTTGAAGGAGACTCTGGAGTCAAAACAGGTACTCCGTCGCTCGTACTGGGCGTGTCTTCGTCGGTTACACTGATGCCCAGTTTGGCATCGACGTAGACAACAAACTCTTTCACGCTTGCAAAGAACAGGAACGTTGTCAAATCAATGGTCAGTCCTAGTACGACACGAATGTCATTGAGGATTTCAGTGGCCATGAGAGAGTCAACGCCAAGGTCTTCGAGAGACACAGAGTCATCCTGAAGTTGCTCAAGAGATACGTCAGTGACGTCGTGAAGGATCTTGAGCACACGCGTTCGCTCGCTGGCAGACTGTCTTTCCAGTGCAGTAGCTGCTTGTGCAGCTGGCTTTACTGTCACGTCGTCTTTGATCGCGGTCACTTCCGGCTCCTTTGTCGAAGTGCTGCTTTTGTTGACGCTCTTCAGCATTCTAGCAAGAAGTGATTGCGACATCTTCGAAAAACAGAAGCCAAACGCCGCCATGACCATCTTCTTCGTGCTTGGGTCGAAAACGTATGCGTCAGCCGAGGCGCCGTCATCATCGTCTTGTGTCATGTTTGAGTAAACAATCCACTCATTTGCATCCGGGTTGAAACCATCGCCAATCTCGATATGTTCGATCTTGTGGCAGACGAACACATCTTCCAAGCTTGCGTTGTTGAAATAGTTGACCAGGAAACCAGCGAACTGCATGAAACTATCCGTCATGGGTGTGTCCGTCAACCTCTCATCGGCAGGTCTCTCCGGATCCACAAACATCCTGACCTTGCCAGTGGCCTCGAAGCCAACGCATGAGACTTCCTTGATGCCACGAAAGTTCTCGCCGTAGTGCACGATGTGGTTAAACGCACGATAGATGTGGTTTCCCGACATCTTCTCTGCGTCAGGATGAGATTGGATCTCCTTGCAACGACGCAAGCCGATCAGAGACTCGAAGCGTTTGAACACTTGTGCCGCTTGCTTGTCCTGCCGAGCAGTAAGATGCACACGTCCAGTCGACTGCTCGAAGGGCTCATTGCGCTGAACGCTCTTCGCTTGTGTGGTGATGGAAAACGACCACGACGGGTACAAGACGTCGAGACGTTTCAAGCAGAGCCGGATATCAACATCGGTGCTGATGCCAATCGGTGACTTCATTGTAAGGTCTTCCGTTGTAGGGATGTACATGACGTTCTCTGTATCGTCTGCAAGGAACAATGCAGCACGGGCAACGACCTCAAAGTAAAGCGAAGCTGGAGCGAGCGACTGGCCCGCCATGACGTGCCCTGCAAGCATGGATTTGAAGCGATCGCTTTGTGGCGCAATGTTGAAAACAGCTTCGCTCTCACTGTCGTCGGTGAAGTGAAGGAATGTCAGTAGCTCATGCGTTGTCGGCTGTATGTCGACGGGTGCTGTAACTTTCTCCTTCTGACCTCCGCGTCCAGTAAATGGAAGCCAGTGCTGAGTTTTCTCGAACTGATATGGTGGCAAAGCCAAGTATTGATACTGACTTCTCTGTGTTCGATGGAATGGCCAATACTGTATCGAAAACCCAGCTTTCCAAAGACTCGTTGTCACGCTGGTCAATGAATCTTGCGCATTCGATGAAGTGAGTTGAGGAGACAGCACGATACTGTTCTGGTTGTCAACAATACAGCCTTGAACAAGCTGACTGACGGAAGAGCCACGGCCTGCCTCCAGCCAGACGGCCTGGGGAAACTTCCGTGCAAGTCGTTCGACGGCGTTCTGAAAGAAGACTGGGCGTCTTGTATGGTGAGCCAGTAGAGTGTGGTCAGGATGCGAGATGCTCTGGCCTTCATCGCATGTCTCGAGATGAATGGCCGGAGTATTCCATTCAAGAGATTGGGCAAGCTCGTCAAGATGCGGCAAAAGAGGTTCAGTAAACTCAGAGTGAAAGCCATGCGTGACTTTCAGTCTCTTGGTTCGGATAGAAGCCTTGAACTGCATGTTGTTGGCGATCAAAGAGTCCAGCTCTTCGATGTCGTTGCGCGAACCAACTACAACGTGACTCCTTGGGCCGTTGTAGCACGCGATCTCCAAGCTGTGAGCTAGATTCCGGGTTCTCAGCGTATGCAGAAGCTCGGAGACGGTGGTTTGATCGGTTTGTAGGAACATCATCTCCCCGGATTCGGTACCCCAATGTTTCAGCATGATGGAAGCCCTGGTAGTAACCAACACAAGTGCATCTTCTAGCGACAGAACACCAGAGATGCAAAGCGCTGTCAACTGACCGAAACTGTGACCAACGACGGCGGCGACTTCAAGCCCACTGTCCATCCAAGCCCGCGCAGAAGCATATTGAACAGCAAAAAGAGCCGAGTGAAGAGCGACCAAACTTGAGATGCTCGTACGTTGGAAGATCGCGGGATAGATCCCTTCGTAACCTAGCGCGTGCAGAGCAATATCGCACGCGTCGAGATGGTGGCGGAAGAGAGTAGAGGATTTGAAGATCGGCTCGGAAAGACCAACGAAATCACTCTCTTGGCCCCCGAAGACCAAGATGACTGGCTTCGGCTTTGAAGTCATCGTAATGTCTTTCTCAGAAGCTGCTCCAATCTTTGTTTCCAGCTCTGTCATATCGGAGATATCTGTTGTCAACATATATGGCAGAGCATGATTTGTTCGATCAGCGAGATTGAATGCCAGATCGCCCAGCTGGACTGTCGTTCCGTCTGACTGTAGGTGTCGCAGCGTACTCGTAAGCTTCTTTGTGTAAGATATGAGACTGTTCACTGAGCCTGCAGAAATAACGATGGGGTATTTGGCCAGAGCCTCCCGTGTTCTGAGTGGTGTCGTTTGATACTCTCTGATCAGAACAGCCGAGTTGCTGCCCGCAGCACCATAGCTATTCACCATGGCGATACGACTTGGAGCAGCCCATTCAATCGTTCTCGTCGATAAATCCATGCGATCTGAAGAATTTGTCTGGATCTTCGGATTCATCGAGGAATGACTGGCCTGCTGCGGTATCCTTCCATGCTGCATCATCAGAAGGACTTTGATGAGACCCGCGATGCCAGCAGTCGCCTCCGTGTGGCCAATGTTTCCTTTGATAGACCCAAAATGAAGGAGGTCCTTTCGAGAAGGACCAGCGAATGCGTCTCGAATGCTGCGGTATTCAACAGGGTCGCCCACACCTGTCCCGGTCCCGTGCGCCTCCACATAAGACACGGCTTGCGGGTCTACACCTGCAGCGGCCATCACCTTCTGGTACAGATCGACTTGCGAGCCCGAGTGCGGGACGGTAATGTGACTGAGATTGTGGTTTTGGTTTGCTGCAGAGCCCATGATGACACCTAGGATGTTGTCGTTCTCAGTGAGGGCGTCCTCCAGTCTCTTAAGCACCACGACACCCACACCTTCTCCACGACAGTAACCGTCAGCACCAGCATCGAATGGCTTGCACTGGCCGCTTGGACTAAGAAACCCAGCTGCGTGGAGGTTCTGGTAGTCGAATGGGCTGGTGATCATGTTGGTCCCTCCAGCCACAGCTCGAGAACATTCTCCAGACCATATGGCCCGACATGCAGTGTTGATGGCCACCAAAGACGAAGAGCAAGCAGTATCGATTGTCAAAGCGGGTCCAGTCCACCCAAAATAATGGCTCACGCATCCGCTGATGAAGCAGCGAGATGTTCCAAGGGTCGCGTACGCTGTAGCTGGGTGGCACGAGACATTGTCGTAATAGTTGTTCATCACAGCGCCCATGTAGCTCCCATAGTCTTGAGGCTGTTTGCTCGATCCTGCGCAGAAGTACCCGGCTGATTCCAAGGCTTCGTACACCACTTCGAGTAATATCCGCTGCTGCGGGTCCCAAGCAATTGCTTCACGAGAAGACTTCTTGAAGAAACTATGGTCGAATGCGTCAGGGTTGTTGAGGAAGTTGCCCCACCATTTCGTGTCTGCATGATTGCCTGTCTGAGGCAGCCCAAGCCTCTCGACTGGCGCATGCTGCGCCATTACTTTGCCAGACAACAGTAGCTGCCAAAGCTCGTCGAGAGAGTCTGCTCCTGGAAATCGACCGGACATGCCGACGATGGCGATGGAATTTGGAGGATACTCAGACTGGGCGTTCACGTTGGCGAGAGGGGATGCGACATGTGGAGTTGATGCTGTCTTGTTTCCGATTGTTTCGCCCAGCGAAATTGTTTGGAAACGTGGATCCGGAAGGAGCGAGGCAGGAACGTGGCTTCCAGTACCAACGAAGATCACAACCGGGGCGGTGTCCTCCTTCAACGGAGCAGCAGCAGCCTGCACTGCTGCGTACCAGTTGACTTGCTCCGATAGTGTATTCTCAAGAATGTGTCGTATCAATGCTCCTTCTCGAATCACTGTGCCGTCAACGGTGGATCTTACAGGCAAATGCAGCCTATCGGTGGATGGTAGCTGCATATCATCCCTATCTCTCGCAAACGCGCTGATGTGCTCCACCGCGGGTAAGTGAACACCAGTGTGGAAACGACCATTGACGCAAAGGGTGCTCACACGCAGTCCACGGGAGCGGCAGCTATCCGTTAGGTCTGCGATATCCGAATGTTTCGCCGTAACCGTCACACTGGCCTGGTCATTGATGCTTGATATGTATGCCTACACAGCGAGGTGTTAGCCTTTGACCGAAACAGCGCAGTTGTTACGCTGTAACATACCTCTTTGAACTGCTGGACAATGACATCAACTTCTTCCCTGCCGCGTACGGTATCGTCCTTCCAGCGAACGGCAATGCATGCGCTGGGAGAGGAACTTTCGCCATAGCCGACATTCTTGTCGACATAGGCGCCGATGCAGACAGCTAGACGTAGCATGGTAGCGGCAATGACGCCTATCTCAGCCTCATTGCGGGCAGTGGCGACGATGAATGCACTGAGAAAGCCGATGCAGAAGCCTTGAACGCCGGCTTCCTTGAGTTCAGTAAGGATGTGAACGTGAGGATGCTTCAACTCGAGCCCGGCAATGTAGCGGGCGTACTGAGTGATTTGCAGAATGACCGTCATGGGAACGGTCAACAAGTTTGGAAGGTCCCTGTTGCGGTCGGGCAGCTGACCACTGTGAAGCCAGTACTGCAGTTCGTTCAGTGTCTTCCCCCCTTGAGCATCGTTCAGTCTCGGATCGAAATCGACCAGTGCTGTCCAGAATTGCTGCAGATCCTCGATTGCGGCCACCAAGGTCGACAACGAACAATTATTGACAAGGTCGTCTCGCAAATTTGCCATCACCGCATCGGAGGGCAACTCCGCTTGCGGTCCAAAAATGAGCATGGACGGCAAATCGTGTGCTGAAGCCATATTGATGTTTGACAGTTTGTGATTTTGGTAGTGTGATATCGATGAGAACTTGAGCAGTTTTCCTTGGAAGTTGTCGATCTCACGAGCGATCCGCACTAATGCTACAGTAGTAGAGAGAGAGCCTTGATATCTGTTTTTACGAAGTGACTAGCGAAAGCTCCACGATTCGTAGCAAAGCTGACTTCTATCGCCCCACAACCTGTCCATGTACGCAAGCAATCACCCCTCCAAGTCTTCCAAGGGGTTCTTCGGCAGCTACGTACTGCATTGAGATGTATGTCATCATGCCGATTGATACCAACATCGTACAATGAATGGCCACATAGCCTTCCTGCGCGGATGGTGCATATGTATGTGGTAAGGACTCAACTGGGATTTTCACCGCTTGCAACATGATAAGACTACACTTTGGAGAGGCTAGATACTTCCCAGGCCCGAGGATCAGGCGTATATCAGCCCATGGCTGTGCAAGCTTTACGTGGGGATTGATTCACTCACGATATGCAGTGTATGCATGTGCGACTTGGTGGTGATATTCTGATTTTTGGGTTTTTACACGAATGTCATCAAGCTAGTCGCAAATGAAACACTCCTTGCAATCGCGATCATCAGTGCCTAATAATCAAAAGATGTGTCTTGTCACTGAGAAGACCGATTCAGTATCGTGATACGGAGAGTAGCTTCCGAAATTGAAGCCCTCAAGTTGAGGCCGATCTCGGCCGGAATAGATGCAGCCTTGAGTCGCAGCCTCGGGGTACTGACAATGTAGTAGCACGACAGGCACCTAGGTAGTCCATGCCACCTTTCGATGTCAGCAGATGGTCAGCGGTGAGACTGAGTCACTACTGTTTCGATGGTCAAGGCGAGGGTTTGCGCGTAATCTCTACGCCCTCCCAGGTTGTGGACCGAACGGTTGGGAGCTGACCTTAGTGGCGCGCGCCTTCCGTCCGAGCGCAGCTGGGCTGGAACCTACTGCAACCCATCAAATCCACATCCGCACTATCTGTGCACTTCGAGCACCAATCATTATGAGCACGCATAGGACCTGAGGCCTGCGATATGAGCTGACGTGATCGACATGTGCCGTGGGCCCGTTCCGGTTCGGCTCGCAGCGCCGTGCGACTCGTCTCACGTAAGCCCTAGGAGCCTTCCCACTCGGGTACCTAGGTGTAGCGACCGCGCAGATATCGAAAGCGGAACCGCGTATGCTACCAGGTCATGCGATCGGTCTGGCATATGGGCGCGCCATAGCTTACCGAAAACGCTGTAAGATAGGTAGCACGCATCCGGTCGCGGGTATACCCGAGTAAGCACAAGATCTCCTATCGGATCTTGTAGGCTCGCGCTTAAATTTAAAGTCTTATTATAAAAGACTTTAGGTATATATATTAGTAAGTTAGTAAGTTAATAATAGTAGTTTACTAAAGCTATTTATTAAAATAGTTATTTCTATATTTAACTATAGTAGCTAAGATAACTTTATAATAAATATATAATAAGTTTTATAATAGCTTATACTATAAAACTAAAGTTAAAGCTTAAAGTACTTATAAAAAAGTACTTTTTACTATTTTCTTTTTTTCTTTATTATAATTATAAGTAATTAAAACTTTTAAAACTCTTTTTATAATTAATAGTAAATTTAGTATTTTATTATTTTTTTAGTAAAAATAAATATACTTAGCTTTTTAAATTTTAACTAATTACTTTAAAGTAAACTTTTAAGCTATACTAATACTTTAATAAAAGCTATTTTTAATATTAAAGCTATTAGTAAATAAATATATAAGTACTTTAAGCTTATAAGTAAAGTAAAAATAAGTATACTACTATTATAAAATTTTAGTAATAGTATATAATTTATTTAAGTATATAAGTATATACTAATATTTACTATAGCTTTAAACTAAATTTATTAAGTAAATAAAATTTATATACTTAAAGCTTTACTTAAGAAGCTAAGCTTAAAGCTATAGCTTATAAATTATAAAAAGTTAATTTTAAAAAACTTATATAAATATAAAAAGAAAATAGTAAATTAAGTAGTTACTAGCTTTAGCTTATAGTACGCGTATAAGTAAAACTAGTAAAAATAGTAGTAATAAAGCTTTATAATAAAATTAAGTTAGTAGCTTTTATAGTACTTTTTTATTTAAGTAAGTAGTAGTATTATAAAATTATAGAATAAAAAAAACTACTTTTAGACTAGTGCTTTAGTAAATAAAATATAGATTATATTAATACATTAAGGTCTTCTATTAGAAGCTAGGCTAAAGCGGTATGCAGCTGCTAACGGCGTTCTAATAACGAGCTAAGACATCGTTCTCATTAGTCTACTTCTGCACCAACATTGGGCTCGGTAATCGAGGTAAGCACTACCTAGGTAGCTTCTTCTCAGACGGACACTATGAATGTCAAGGCTCCTATAGCAATGGTCTTGAGATTACTACGGTGCTGTCTCTTGTAAACTCATGATCATTCCGTAGTTACCGCTTCTCAATCCGCGACGATGAACTATCTAGAAGTACTTCTTCTGGCGCCTTTGATATACGTAGCTTACGAGATCTTCTGGCGCCTCTATTTGTCCCCAATTGCGCATATCCCGGGGCCGAAACTTGCCGCGGTAACAAGACTGTAGGCAGCCCGACGAAAGCAATTCGTGAAGAGGCTGACTGGGATATAGATTCGAGATCTATTACGATCTGGTCTTGGGAGGACAGTACACTTTCAAGATAGGGGAGCTGCACAAAACGTACGGTCCAATCATCCGTATTTCGCCTTGGGAAGTCCACATTCATGATCCAGTGAGTCGCTGATACGATGATGCCGTCTAACCGTATGATGTCACACGTGCTGAACTACAATGATGGCAGGACTTTTACGGAACAATATATGCTCCGGCTACTTCCCAGCGCAAGTCGGACAAGTACCCTTTCTTCACAAGGTTCATGGGCCTCGACCTATGCGTCTTTGCAACTGTGCAGCATGATCTGCATAGGAAGCGGCGGGCTGCCCTGTTGCCATTCTTCAGCAAGGCAAGCGTAAGAAGATTGCAGCCGGTCATAACAGAAAGGGTTGAGGTCATGCTCAATCGTATGAAAGAGTTCCGAGAATCTCGGCGCGTCTTGAACGCTAGTTGCATGTTTTCTGCTCTTACCAATGGTTAGTGGTGGCGACCCCTGCGGCAAGATATTCTATTGCTAACATCTATAGACGTGGTAAATCTTTACTCCTTCGCGAGATGCGACCATCGACTTGGTAAGTACCCTTTTTGACTTACAAACATGTTTGAAACTGAATGACGTTCCAGAAGACCCAAACTTCGACCCTTGGGCCCGCGATGCCTCGCTAGCGGGTGCCAACTCCGCCAACTTCGTGAAACATGCTCCATGGATCAATCCTCTTCTAAAGTCGCTCCCTGACTGGATGCTTCAACAGCTATTCCCAGCTCTGGCTACATTCACTGCCCAGAAGCGGACTTCAGAGGCCCAAGTGAAGAGGATTATGGCCGGTGAAAACGATGAATGGCGCAGTAGAGAGCACCCTACAATCTTTCACGAAGTGCTCAGCTCGAAACTTCCGCCACACGAAAAGAGCATCGAACGTCTTGCTGATGACGCGCAGATGGTGGTGATGGCAGGCACTCTTACTACCGCCGCGGCACTTGAGCTCATCCACTTCTGGCTTCTGTCTCAACCAGACACATTGCAGAAGCTGAAGGACGAGCTTTCTATTGCTATACCAAACCCGGATGATGCGTCTAAAACGCCACTACCAACACTTGAGGCATTGCCATATCTTACCGCGGTGGTGAAAGAAGGTCTGCGCCTCAGCTACGGAGTTTCCACTCGCCTTCAGCGCATCGATCCGAACAACAGTCTCGTATTCACGGACAGAGACACGGGAAAATGCTGGAACATTCCACCAGGCACACCCGTTGCAAGTACAAGCGTACTTATTCACAACGATGAGAGTATCTACCCAGACAGCAAAAGGTTCTCCCCAGAGCGTTGGTTGGCCGGGAGAGGGCCTGACCTTGAGAAGTATCTGGTAAGCTTCTGTGCTGGCAGCCGCAGGTGCTTTGGAGAGAGCCTGGCATATGCGGAACTGTATGTGGCATTGGCCGCGATTTGGAGAACTTGGGGAAGCTGCAGTGAGCATGGTACGATGATGGCATGGAGCCAGGATGACGTGGGTGTCATGAGTCTGTGGGAGACAGGAAAGCGAGATGTGGAAATTGAGAGTGATCAGTTCGTGCCGGTCGCCCAGAAGGGCTCCAAGGGTATCCGGGTAATGGTGTCGCATGCTTTTGCTCGGCAGTAATGAGATCAGTTTGCATCCAATCCAACGCGCTCTATACGATGACTGAGGCTCCTAATCATTGGCATTACTTCTTCGACTCTGTGACTAGCTGCTTTGAACAAGGGTCCTGCGGAGATAATGCAGCATACAGCGGCATCGCGGTTCCCGGCTCGGCCCCTGATTGCTTTTGCCCCACGTCCGCGCTAACTATGTACATTCGGCACTGCATGCTTTTGCGTTTCGTGGCTACACAAAGAATACCAGTTGCCGCCAACAATGTCAGTAAGCAGGTAAGGTTTCAGGGTCTGGCCTTCCCCTCCTCTCTGACCCCATCAGCAACGCTGTGAGCCTCAACACCAGGACCGCACACCAACACAGCACATTTGACTGCGCATCTTCTTCATTGTCAAACGATTTGAACAAAATGTCACACGTCGTACCTTTTACTATATCCATCACGGATGAGACACTTTCGCGTCTACAAAAGAAGCTGGCCCTGACTGATTTCCCCGAGGAGTGCGCTGATGCTGTCGATTGGTGCCACGGGTCCCCATTGTCAGACGTTCAGCGTCTTGCTTCTCGCTGGAGCAACGGATTCGATTGGCGAACCATTGAGACAGATCTAAACAGATTCAGTCAATACACCACACAGGTGGAGATCGAGGGTTTCGAACGACAGGACGTGCACTTTATTCATCAGCGCAGTGAAGTTCAGAACGCTCTTCCACTCCTCTTCATTCATGGGTGGCCCGGTAGCTTCGTCGAGGTTACTCGCATCCTACCTCAGCTTGTTCGAGGCGGCGTGGAATTCCCGGCGTTCCATGTTGTCGCGCCCAGCCTCGTCGGCTTCGGTTTCTCGTCTGCCTCTAAGCGCAAGGATTTTGGCATAGCTCAGCAAGCCGAAGCTTTGCACAAGGTCATGCTTGCTTTAGGATACGCTGAATATGTGGTTCAATCAGGTGACCTGGGATATCTTGTTGCCCGCTTCCTCGCCCTCCGATACCCCGAGCACGTCAAAGCGCACCACATCAACAACGCAGCACCGGCTGAACCGACGATTGAGTCTCATCCCGAGCTCCATGCCAAATTGGCTAGCTCAGATCTCAGCCCCAGCGAGCTGAAAGGGCTTAGTCGTACTGAATGGTTTTCGAAGGAAGGGAATGGTTACTACAGGAAGCAAGCCACCAAGCCTCAGACTGTGGGATACTTCATGGCAGACAGTCCCGTCGGGCTACTGGCTTGGCTACTCGAAGCACTACACGACTGGGTGGATGACTACGAGTGGACTGACGATGAGATCTTGACCTGGATCAGCATCTATTACTTTTCACGTGCTGGGCCCGCAGCGACCAGTTACATCTACTATGCTATGGAGCATGCCGATGTCTCCCCATTCGTCTTTGCTCAGACCTACTCGGATGTACCTTTGGGTATCTCGAGGTTTCCGAAGGACCTCATTCTACTGCCAAAGCTGTGGAATCATACTTTGGGACCGGTCGTGTTTGAGAAAGAACACGAAAAGGGTGGTCATTTCGCAGCATGGGAGAACCCAGACGCTGTTGTTGACGACTTGCGCGTCATGTTTGGGAAGAAGGGTGGCGCTTTTGGCGTTGTCGTTGGGAAGTCTGGATACAACACGGAATGATGGGAAGCAGATCGGCTTCACACATGAATAGATTGAGACAGTGCCGTCGCTGCCAGGGGATATCACGAGGTCACAGAATTACACTTGACAGTCATTCTCGCAATCTGGTCAATCACAAGTATTCCATCACTCTAGCATTCAAGCCATGCTCTCGATGTTCATTGCACTACTTCAATGATTGGTGGTACCAAGATGTACCTCTAGTAACCCAACGCCAAAGGGATTAGGCCAGACCTTCATGATCTTCAATCGCGGATCAGCTTGCGTCAGCAAATTCTCGAACTCCTTCTCGGTACGCTGCTTTGCTCCCAATGTCACCATCATGCAGATGTCTACCTGTCGCAGATGATGCTCCTCATGGCGAGTCATCGTTCCGCTTTCGGGCATGATAACATCGTTGATGAGCAGAGGTGTGTCCTTCCCACACTTTTCAAGCGCCGGTACAAGAGCGCGTATGATCTTGACGCAGTTGTCGTCATTGTTGTTGTGGAGACATTGGCGAAGAAAGAAGGCATTCGCGTCGACCACCGGCTGCGTATCGAAGAAATCATGTTGCTGGAACGTGACACGCCCTTCGAGTTCCTGGATGACCATCTCTTCGGACTGTGCGAGCATCTCCTGGGAAATGTCCTGGACCACGAAACGCAAGGACTTGAAGTGCTAAACGGAGATGTTAGCACCCAGAGTTTCCGGACAGGAGATAAGCAACCCACACGCGCAAGCTCGATTGAGATATGGCCGCTTCCACCCCCAACATCTACTATCTTCCCATGACCCAATGACTCCCATGGGAATGTATCACGAAGTTCCGAGACCTGTCGATCCACTATGATTGTCAGTACTCCTATTTGATCGAAGGAAATGATGTGGAGAACGAACGTTGAGACCAGCTACTCATTGCCTGTGCAAACCGTGCAGCTTTGGAAGGTTGCTGCTCATAGTACTTGTACATGCTCATTCCATATGCTGTAGAGAACGGGGAATTCTCTTGGCTGTACGTATTGGGGGATCTTGTAATCGTTTCGGTAGTTGCCGACACCGCTTTGAGCATGTCATCCATTCTAAGTAAGCCACTGTTAGCTGCGTTGAGCACTGCGGGCTGTCGTTGAATACTGACTGCATGTCCGCTATTGCATGGAGACCTTTGTTTGTGGCTAGCGATGCCGAAGCGGCTGTGTGTTCGTAGCGATCGGTGTCGCTTGGTACTCGTTGGAAGATGCGGTGCGTTGCCAACAGCCCCATCACTCTTGCCGCACGATCAGGATCCATGCCGGCTTTATCCGCAATTTGTTGGATGCTGGCACTCCGAGCACTGGGGTTGTCCACGATACCTTGCGCATCAGACTTTACACCGACTTCTGGGAGTGGTACGTGCTTGAAGAACCCGCGATCAAGCGCAACTTGGAGGGCTGCAAGATCATAGTGTGAGAAGAAGAATGACCGCAGAGTGCGTTCTGGTCCGTTCACCAGACGAAGTAAGTCGAGCGCAGCGTCATTGAGTGGTGCGCGTACAGCTTCAAACTCATCAGTATCTGGCAATGCAGTCGTAACAGCCCCAGATGTAGGATGAGGTTGGGAGGAAGTGTTCAGGTATCTGGAGATCCTTGCCGACAGACAACTGATCTCCTCGACGAGAGAGCCGATTGAGGGTGCGTTAGAATCAGGTGACATCACGAGTTGTAGCCTGCGGAGAAGATGGGCACATTCGACTCCTGACAAGTAAAAGGTTTGAAGGTTGCTGTTTGGAATACACTATACGGGTGTACCAGAGAACTCGGGGGCATACACCTTGTCCGTCCTAATGACGGCCAAAAATATCCGATCAATGAGCTCTCCGTTACCTCGCTGCCGCCGAAGTGCGCTGCAAGATGAGTATGAACGGTGTTGTCGCTGCAGTGCTCCTGTCAGGCAAAGATAAGATTATCGCATGCTGCACCGTAAGAAATGCTGATGCAGGGAAGCTGCATGTATGGTTCAGCTGAGTCCAACAATTCGTCAAAGATTTAAGATTATGTGTGGTAGCACAAAGGCCTTCCCAGGATGGCGCCTCCGGAGGTTCCGCCCAGATAAGGCCGTCGATTGATGCTTAACGAACGGTTTCATTCAGCCTATGGTATGGCACACTCGGGCATCTGTCTTGGAGAAGACTCCGATTTGCTGGAACAAGCGAAGAACCGTAAGCTGACTGAACTGCCAAGTAAAATCACCAGACTTTGTCGAGTGCTGGCTCATTCGTACCGTTCAAACGCTGTCATCACGCCATGACCTGCCACATTCATGTACGCCTTTGGGTTTCCTTCGTGAAAACTACTGGTTCTTCGCTTCCCGAACCGTAAACTGCTGATGATCGCCGGTATGCAAGGTTGTTGCGTGTATCTGCCTCGTCCGATAAGTGCGACAGGGGAAACATAGATCACGGGTTGGCTACTTCAGCGGTACGGGAGATTGCCCAGCTGAGCGGGTGGGCTTTTCGTATCTAGCTAGCATCAATTCCGACTTGCGACATATGAAAGCAGCTGATGTACAATTGCCTTGGCCGAGAACTCTGTGAGTGAGCCCAGGTAGACATGTGGCGTATGCTCGGGCGCTTTGCCTTCCGTGTGAGGCGCCACGAGAAGGATAACAAACGCCTATCTACGATCTGTGCATCATATCAGAAAATCACTAGTACAATGACAGGTAAATTGTTCGGCAAGGAGGGATGGGGCTTCACTCCTAGTCAGCTAGGGCTCATCTGTTCCCCTGACTCAGTCGTAGGGGCTAAGAGATTCCCAAATCCAGTTTCCTATCGTGCCCAAAGCAGGCCTAACGAAGATTCTCAAAACTACACACATATTCCAAAGTAAGTTGGCGTTGGAAATGACTGTTTTTATCACACGCACCCTCTGTAGTAGAGCGAGGCAGTTTCTGGAGACTTTCCCGAGCCGCCATGGAAGGAGATTATCATGGCTTGGGTCCAGACGTACGCCCGTCCTGTACTCCTTTCCCGAAGGCCATCGGAAAGTGCGCCAGCTGGCTCAGACATTGGGGCTGTTATGCTGAGGCTCCCACGTAAGAACATCGGGCTTCAGGTCTGCCTATGGCTGCCTGATGTAACCTCAAAGCTTTGATCATAATGGGGTTGACACACTGCGAGATTTGGGTGGCGCCGTACATCTGTGCCAAATCGCGAGGAATATTTAAGAGGTCTGTATATCTTTGACAAGACAATGAAGCAGCTTCATCAGCGATCAAACGACCTGTTCCTCCAAATTCATTTTCGACAAAAGTGAACAAGATACGCCATGTCCCTCCTCAACTTGACTCTCGCCTTCGTCTGGATCACTGGGGTTGCAAGCGCCAGTATCGACTTCACAAATTGGGCGCCTCCAGGTCCCGGCGATGTTCGAGGCCCATGTCCAGCAATGAACAGCATGGCAAACCACCATATCATCCCTCACGATGGAATGAATCTTACCATCCCCATGCTGAGCGAAGCTCTGGCCGGAACATTCAACCTCAGCATCGAAATGGGGACAGTCGTCTCAGGAATTGCACTCGCCATTGCGCCTGATCCATCGCTCGGCCACTTCGACTTGAACCATCTCAATAAGCACAATGCATTTGAGCACGACGCATCGCTTTCGCGCGTGGACTACTACTTCAGCGGTGATGAGGGTATCGCGAAATTTGACAACGAGACCTTCAACCGTTGGTTCTCTCATTTCGATGGCTTGCAATACATCGATATTGACATTGCTGCCAAAGCTCGGTATGCAATGGTCAAATACTCGCGTGAACACACGCCGGGGTTCACGTACTTGGAGCAGCACCGCATCACTAGTTACGCTGAGACTATCAAATTTCTCAAGACGATGGTTGATTCTACCGGCAAGGCTAGAAGAGATTTTGTGAAGATCCTATTCGGTAAGTAAATCGAACATACCTTCTGTTCGTGAAGCACCTGTTGCAGCAGTGCGCTAAATGAGAACAGAAGAAGAAAGGCTCCCGTTCTTGGAAGGGTGGCGTCCACCGACCGAACAAGTTACTGGCTTCTTGATGGCAGACTTTGTTCTGCGAGAGGCGTTGGCAACACCGGAAAAAGCGAGCTGGTTTGGTGAAACGCCGCGGGACAATTTCACCACTCACGATGTGCCTACCCAATGCTCCAACAGTACAAATGGCCATTAGTACGGTACGAGATACTTGGAACTTTCGAGATTTGTGTCGCATGCTGTTGCGTTTCATGTTCTAGAATGCGGTTATGTACTATTGCTTGGTACTGTTTTTGATTGGGTGGACGCTGGTCGAGGGGAGTAAATAGATTTGGCTGTCTCATCACACTCTTCTTTCTTCACTTCTCTAGTCTGCTAGTTCAGACTCATACTATTGCAGCTGATCAGTATCGTCATTACACGAATAAAGATATCTCCATCCTCCCCCTTTATGCGAACACAGGCCCGAGGGTTACGAGATGGAAAAATAGGCTGGCATGCAATTAATTCACCGCGAACCTTCCCCGCGTCTCACCCGCTCCATGCCACGCCTCTACGTGCATCTGTCCCACTGCAACCCTCTCATACGCGTCGCCTACCAAGCGAACGAGCATGACGTTGTAAGTACACCACTCTGCATCGCGGAAAGCTTGATCGTACACCTCTTCGTCTGAGGTATATCCATTATCCGAGAGATGAGAGATGACTGGTCCGTTCTTTGTGAGACTATTGTTCGACTTCCACGTAGACAGTGCAAGGAGCTTCAGGCCCCTACTGGCGATGGAAAGCACATGCTCTTGCGGAAGGCCTATGAGCATACCGCAGCGACGTTTATTGCTGTCGAAAACGTAGTATGAGACTTCGGTGATGGGGCTAGATGTGCTCTGAAATGGGTCAAAAAGCCCTTTTGGAACCTTGGTGAGTTCAAACGCTTTCAGAGGGACGCTCATACACTCGAACACAATCGTAGCTGGCATGGCGAGCTGATGTTTGGCGAGCGGCCTGAACAATGAGCTTATCGGCCTATGCCCTGGGCGCACCAGGTCTGCGTATCGTACGCGGCCGATCCAGCCCGACCAACTCCAGCTTGGCTGTTGTGAGGTAGTCAGTCGCCGCTCGATAGTAGTGACTGGAGTCCAAAGTAATGCGAGATCCAGAAGGGAAGTCGGGAGGCCGCCGACAAAAGGCCAATCAAACATGCGAGTTAGCATAGTCTGAATGCCAGTGAAAGCATTGAGAATATCATCCGGAAATCCCATTTTCTTTGCGGTGTACTCTGCGATGATCTCTTCGTACCAACGAAACTCGTCCAGTGGACTATATGTGCCAGCTCGGGTAGTCTTGGACTTCAGTTCTGCGCTTGTCGTGCGCATCTTGTCCAGGGTATAGAAGCTGGTGTCATCGCTGATGTATCTGTCTTCGCACAAAAGCTGCTTCTTGCAGTGAAAGTACACCTGTTCACCAAGGAAGTATAAACTCCGGTTCGATAGTAATCGCTCCTGGAATGTCCAGGCGCGCGTGTTATAAATACACTCGACGTCTACGCCATCGTAGGTGTGATTTGCCAACATGTTCTCCAAGGATGATCGCTCCACCATGTGTAGTCCAGGGGTGACGAAGGTTGCGGTTGTGTTGCGGGCCGTAGGCGGAATGCCGGGTAGGCCGGCGTCGGCGGAGTCTCCGTTTAGGGCCACTATCGTGGCCATGGCGCAACTGTAGATTGCGCACATCTGGGCGAGGGCGCTCGCTTTGTTGGTAGCGTCATCTTGGATGATGCACTGGGTTTCGTAAGTGAAGGCCCCGATGCATCATGCTGAATTCGCCTACCATCGTATCAACCCACAAGTATCGCTCGCCCAGGCTCTTGACAAAAGTCATTGCGTCCCTGATGGTCTGAGTCAAAGGCTGCTTGGAGAGAGTCCGGGGCTGGCGCAACTGGTCGTAATTCTCCATCAGGGTCAGGAACTGTTTTGAAGCGCCCCAAACGTAACTCAAGGCGAAATACCGATCCTTGAAGTTCCCAACCGCGAGACGATCATCGATAACATCCAAAAGCAAAAGCGGCCCAGTATCAGTAACTGTTGTCTGGTGTTCATTGCAGACATGGCCGTGGTCTTTCTCGCAGTCACCCAGCCAACTCTTGATCAACTCCACATCCGCCCAGTGATGTCTTACTGTCCGACTATAATCTGATTTGTGAACCTTGAAGTCCTTCAAGGCCGCCTCACACTCCTGCGAATCCAGGTCATCATCATGTAGAAACACACACGTTGTCAGCCCGTTGAAGTCCCCAGGATACTTCTGCGCATCAACTGATGGACTTTGATCTCTTCCCTGTCGTCTCTGGAACTCTCGAGTGCGGAGAACATGACGGCAACAGTCGCAATAGAGAATAGGCTCGATAAGATGCTGGTATTCCTCGTACTCTCTGAAGCCATTGTTCTCCCAGGCTGGAGTACCAATGCTAGCGAAGCCTGCACGCTCGTCTTCTTCAAGAGCTATCTGGCATGGCACGCATAGCTCTCCTCCGTTGATACCATCATTCAATTGTCGGATCGCGGCGCGGGAGTACGAGTTGAACATCGCCAGGCATTGTGTCTTGGAGTGAAACGGGGCGAGTTGAGCTGCTCCAACGGTTGCGCGGAGTGGCGCGCTGGGATGGAGACTTTATCACGTGCTTGTGTGCGGGGTACACAGGTATGCTAAGACAACTTAGGAATTGCCACGCACGGTCTGTGCAGCAAAGGGAGAGAATACCAACCCTCGCCCATGGCATGATGGCATAGCCTTCACCCTTTCACTTGGAGGCTACGTCGCTGATTGCAGGGGCTGGAACTTTGCAGTGTTGTCATTCGCGCAGCAGCCTGATCTTCAAGGGACCGGCGAATTGGACGAGAACCTGGGTGGCTGCCATCGTTGCCGTCTTGGTGCAACATCTCCTCTCTACGACGAACAGCTGAGCCAGGCTGACCAACGCGAGAATACGCAGCGCGAAAGCGCTGACGCGATTTCGACAAAGTTGAGTGGAGAAGAGAAGGTGGAGTTTAATAAGAAGGAGGAAGCACGCAGAAAGGGATACGATGATTACCGTGCGCAGCTTCTAAACATGCTGTCCGAAAGTCTGTGGATACGCAATGTAGCAGCAAGCGGTATGTGCGAATACCGTCGGTATTTTGCCGCGTGTAATCGAAGGCATCTACGGTGGTGATGTGCGGGTGTTGCTGGTGATTGGGGATGTAGTGCTCGCAGAGTCTTCCTGCGATGGCGATGGAGGATGACGCGCCGACGCGTACCTAGGTAGAGACGCGATATGCACGGGCCACCTACATCAACACCAGCAGCCCGCGAAGAGGGAGGCGCAGAACCATCCACAAGAGTCATCTATCATCACGAGCTAGACATTAGATACGTCACGACTGAATTTACTTACGAGACCTGGGGAAGGCTTCACATGAAAGCTTGCATCAGTATAATGTTGAAGTTGTGCGCGATGAAGCAAAGGAAGCGGCGATTCAGTCACGACTGCCGCAATAAATAACCACCTTGATGGTACCCTCGTATGGGGGTATTTGCAATCATCAGGAACTGGAATTCAGGCACAAATGATAAGAAGAATATATTGCGTTTAGCCATCGATGCTCTTGCGTCCCATTAAGCATGTTGACCGCCTTTCCTTTCGTGCAGCAATTGTCGCAGGTTCTAAGAACAGCTTGTCAGTATGTGAAGGCTAGCTTGAAGGTGTTCGTATGCGCATTGCTTACCTCGAGCGAAGAGCCATTTGAGAGGAGCGTTGTGGCGAGCAATTTTTTGCGATCTTGAACTTTGAGGATGTGCTATTGGTGGACGTGTTAGTTCATATTTCCACAATTTACTGCGGCATGAGTACCTCTTCGAACGAGTCTTTCATGATATAGCGTATGGTGGTGACAGGACGAGTCTGTCCGAGTCGATGAACGCGAGCGAGCGCTTGATCTTCGAGAGATGGGTTCCATTGGGGCTCGAGAAGATGGATTGCAGATGCCGCTGTCAGGTCCAGACTGGAATAACTGTTAGTGTGTTCGTGTTTCATGAATAATATTTTCGTAAACTTACCCACAGGCGCCACAAGCAATGGTGATCAGTATGACGCGTATACCAGGGTCGTCACGAAGCCGTTCCATAGCAAGGCTGCGCTTTTTCGGCTGCACCTTGCCATCGATTCGGACGAATTGAATGACTTGATCTGCATTAGACCGAAGCGCTCTCTCCACCATATCGAGACTTGATGTCCAGGACGAAAATACGACACTAGCGAGAGGTTAGCTTAGAAACGTGCTCAAGGTCGTGGTGGACATACTGCTTTTCCTGTGGACGCAACCTGATCTGCGAAACAAGCGCCCATACTTTGCTTGAAATCTCGTTGGCATAGTCCCAATCCATCGATGAAGGGGAAAGACTGTCCGTGGGCGTTAGACTAGGAGTAGCTAATAAGGATGCCAGAGGACGCAGTTGACAGGGTCGCGGCTGCTCCGTGCATGCGCATGGATCGGGTGATCGATGGTGAAGACTCGAAGAGCACTCGGCGCAGTAGAACTTGCTGCAGGCTGAGTAATAGACTTGTTCTTGTGTAGGACCACGGAGTCCAGTACTAAGTATTGACGTTTCTACTGGCTGGAAGCACAGTTCGCAAAATCCTCCACCCATTGAGAAGCGGGCGCTCATCACGGATGTCGTGTCATCTAAACTGCCAGGCTGGGAGAAACCGTTCACTTGCGAAGGAGTGAAGACTCCTAAGTTGCAAACAAGGCGGAGTTTGTTGATCTGTTGTATAGCGGTCATCCAAGGGACCTGGGTTTGACTGCCGTTTCCTGTGGTGCGATCCAGCATATCCAGAACGGGCTGCTCGATTTGGCGATAATGTCGTTCTTCCTCGTGATTGAATGGCACACGTATCAACTGATCGTGTTTGCTGGGCAGATCTAGGATAGCCTTGGTCCGACGTATCATGATGCGCGAGAGCAGTGTCTTAAACATTTCGCCAGCCTCCTCGACAGATTTTGTACGCCATATGTTTGAGATATCGTCATCGAAGACCTTTGGATCGTCGTAAGGGGCGAAATGAAGGAATTTGAAGAGGCCATGGAAGTCGAGCAGGCTGTTCTGAATCGGGGTGCCTGAGACTGCCCATCTAGAAGTCGCGCGGAGCGCGGCCATTGCTTGCGCAGTAGAAGTCTTGTGGTTGCGTATTGTGTGTGCTAGAAGAGGGTCAGTCATTATTGAGCCACATGATGTAAGAGAGTCGTTTTAACTTACCCTCATCGAGTATGATGCGTCTCCAGTGATGAGAGAATATAGAATCGATGCCCCGAACGCTCCTGCGGTTCTCTCCCTCGAGGGTCTGGTAGGTAGTGAACACTATCTCTAGTGATGTAGCGGCCCGTCAGTCGATGTATCATCTGTAGCGTGTACGTGAACACGACTTACCGGGCGGTCTTTCGTGGTCCTTCAGCTTGAACCTCCGTTTGCCGTGATGCATGCACCATGCCAACTTGCCCTGTTGAACATGGCTAATGAAGGTCAGCAAGAGTGACTCGCATAGCTTGCGATGACGAACCTCTGTAATTGCGATTCCCAGACACCGAACACTGCAGAAGACGTCAGTAATTGTAAAGTCGTACGACACATGCACTCTTACAGCTCAGTGGTACCACTATCAGGGTCGATGGTATGCCAGTCTCGGACGTAGAATAGCCTGTGGGTCGATCGTCTCCTGAACGGCGGTCTTGATCAGAAGCGATCAGAGCTATCATGCTCAGCGTCTTCCCAAGACCCATTTCGTCGGCAAGCAACCCACCACGCCACACCGGACCAGGCGTAGATTTGACTTCACCAGTCACAGCGTTCACAAACCTGGAGCACATCAAGGTTTAGCGTTGAGTCTTGAAGATTTGTCTTGGGCATACGCACCTAGGCTGTCCTGCGCTTGTCTTCTGCAGCCATATACCAACGCCATCTTTGTTTGGATGCATACCTCGTTCGCGTTGCAGGAAGAAAGTAAGGGCTTGTTTCTGATGTCTTTGGTACCAGGTTAGCTGATTTACCTCCTTCACGACAGAATACGTACTCTTTCAGCTCGGTAAGTAGAGCTGTCGGGCTGGCCGATAGATTGAAATGTTCAGTGGTTTCGAAACTAGACAAGACATCGAGGGAGGCTCGTGAGAAACTATCGACATGTGGTCGGTTCGACTGCAACAAGTCGAACGTCATTGGCGGTCGTTCGTGAAGAGTGAACAGACATTGAGGGTTCATGTAGGGGACGTTGCGGCCACATTTGACAGGATCATCCAAGTAGCAATCGGCTCTAGTCAAGAAGTCGCCCACATCGCCAGAGCGGCGTCTGGGACCATATATTGTAGCTCCGGCGTATTTCAAATCACCTCTGGGTTTCTTCCGTTCCGTCGGGGGAACGATGGGAGCCGTGAAGAGTGAAAGTTCTAATATGAGTTCGTCATCGACTGCCAGCCGTCGCAGCAGCTCGCCCGCATAGCCATCCAGACGCCCGATCGGTGTATTGGTACTACCACAAGTAATTAGGCGCGGGGATTCGAAGCGGATCGCGCTTTCGGTAGAGATGCGTGAGGCGACATGATGGGGAGGATTCTGTATTTCAAGATCTGATATCTGAGCGATGTGAGCATAGACCACTAAGGTGGGCAGAACGCCGCTCACCATGCCATAGCACACTACAGTATCTTCTCCTATATCTTCTGAGGTTGCGCAGGCAGCCGATGGTGGTATCTGCGCTGAGGCTCCATGATCAGATGCATTGCAAGCACTCTCGGTTGCGACGCTTTCCGCGTGAGGGGTATTCAATCGCCGTCGCTTTGGAGCAGGAGGAGCGAATTCATCGATAACGATTTCAGGAAGACATCCAAGCATACTGTAGGCCGTTCAGAGACGCAAGAGACGGCTTCTTGCAAATCGTCATACTTGAGGATGGAAGCAGAGAGGTTAGGTGCATGCGAAGGCAGGCTATGCAAGCCACTGGGGCTGAGTAAACATGTCTGCAGCCTACGGGGCTGTACAAGCGTGCGCAGGTGTTGTCAATCTTGAGTGCGCTGCTGACAAGCCTCACTGCACCTCCCCTTGATCCACAGAAAAATCGAAATTCCCTCGCGAAAAGACCCTTCGGGCTCGAGCGCGAAAGACGGAGAAGCCAGTTCTGCGCTCCATCGCTCCTCGGTGACGTGCCACGCGTGCGCACGGCCCGACCTCGGCATGGCGGCTCCTTCAGCTCAAGCCCGCCGCACGCTTCAAGATGCCTTCGAGCGGTTCGCTTCTACTGTCACACCGGACGACAAGCGACTTTTTCACAACACACAACTCAAAGATGTCCAAGATGAAGCGATTCGTGTCGAGCGGCTGCTCCGCGCTCGCCGGATGCAAAAGAACATGGCTCGGCTGGACCCATTCCTTCGTGGGATGGAGCATTACTCCAAGGTAGTCGAGGTGCTGTGCAATGGGACGCCATTTCTGCCATGGATATGGGCACCAGTAAAGCTGATGCTTATGGTGAGTCGTACGTCTTGGCACTCACCGTGTTGCTCACTGACACGAACAGATCACGGCCGACTCGATTAGTGCATTCGAAAAGTTGATAGAAGCATACGGCAAAATTGGGGACATGCTTCCTCGCTTGGATCGTCTCGGCGATGCGCTTGTTGGCGACCACAACTTTCAAAAGGTGCTAGCTTTGGTGTACTCCGACATTATAGAGTTTCACCGACGAGCTTACAAGTTTGTGAGAAGGAAATGTAAGTACCCTGGCTGCCAGCCTGACGCTGTGTTTTGCTAACCCGCCACAGCATGGTCTATATTCTTCATGACTATGTGGGCGGGCTTCGAGTCTCGGTTCGATGGTATACTAAAGAACCTGGAGTATCACAGCGAGCTGGCTGACAAGGAAGCTGCTGCGGCGGACATTGCTGAAGCTGTCCGACGTAGCAAAGCCGATGATGAGAACTGGGAGCAACAAGAGCGCGATTGGGCCGCTGTCAGTGTGACTAGTACCCCTAGTGTATGCGAGACGCGCTGACCTTGTACACAAAACCAGGCCAAGCTCCACAGGGTTTTGACCTGGCTGGAAACAACTGATACTCTCCCAGCTGACCTGCTCTACCGGCGCCTCCGAGGTTACTTAGCAGGTAGCTGCGACTGGTTTACACAACACAAAGCGACTGAGCTTTGGCTAGGAGATAGCGCAAAGAACCCCCTCCTGTGGCTTTGCGGAAAACCAGGGGCCGGTATATTAACAGACTGCCGTTAAAGCTCATCTGCTGACTTGTTTCAAGGGAAGTCTATGATATGCTCTGCGCTTGTGCAACACGCTGAGACTAAGGGGTTCCACGTGTTCTATTACTTCTGCAGTTTCCTCGGAAGCCGCTCTGATGGCCCAAGTTGTCTACTGCGATCCCTCATCTCGCAAGTGATCGAAAAACATCAGGATCTGGCCATCTACGTCCATGACGTCTACTTCAAATCGCATCCAAAACCCACGAGGAAAGCATTACTGAAACTTCTGCCTGAGCTCCTTCAAGGGTTGGGCTCCGTGCGGCTGATCGTAGACGGCATCGACGAATGGGCTTCACAAGATCAAGAGGAGCTTCTCAAGGACCTTTCGCAGATGATCTCGACCGACAGATCCTCCCATATCTGCAAGATCATGATTTCCAGCAGAGAGACTATGGACGTTTTGCGAAACATACGTAAAAAGGACAAATCATCCATGACGATCTCTCTCAGTAATGCCAATGAAGGTCTCGCAGTCACTCAGTCAATCGCCAATTTTGTCAAGGTCAAGCTTTCTGATCTCCCGGATCACTTCGCCGAGCTTGATCCAGATAAGTCGATTATGGCTCATGTCGAGAAAACCCTGCTTGAGAAGTCCCACGGTAGGTTTTGCCCAAACCACTGAGTGATGATCAAAGTTTTGACTTTCGCGCAGGCATGTTCCTGTGGGTCAGCCTCGTGCTTGACTCGCTCGATACGGTGTATACCCCTGAGGAGCTACGTACTGTTGTCGATAATCTTCCCTCTAATATATCAGCTCTTTACGAACAGATCTTGGCTCGTCTATGTAGCGCCCCAGGGTCCCAGAGTCACGGAGGTGTACCGCGTATCCTGAGCTGGATCTGCTTCGCACGAAGACCTTTGCACAAGTCTGAGCTGCTGCAGGCGCTGTCTATGTCTCCACACGACATTGATCCTCAGATTCGGAGTATCCCTAACGCTTCTTTACTTAACCAATGCAAGCCACTCATCGAAGAGCTCCCTGATTCGACGATAGTACCAATTCATTTTTCGGTAAAGGAGTGAGTCTACCGATGAGCTGTGATCACAGTGTCTAACGACTAAATAGATATCTCCTGAGGAATCGAACACCGCAGATTGTTCCAGCAATCGATGCTGCACAAGACATATCGTCCGCCTGCGCTGTTGTCATCGTGCGCGGTCTAGGACTCATACATCTGGGAAGCAACCCCACAGACTATCTTCCCCTCGTTGTGAGCGGTAATTACAGGCTCTTACCATACGCGATAGAGCATTGGATAGAACACTGCTCACAATACGCATCAGAGGGCGGAAGTCTCGGTCTGGATCAACCCCTTCAACGTCATCTAGCCCGCCTTCACAGAAATCACAAAGACTGCCTCCACACACTCGGACAAACTGTAAATCAACACCCAAAACCGGACAAACCTAACAATAGCCTAGTAGATAAACACCTCAAGGTCTTTGCCAATATGCCGATTTACGAATTGATGCTCGATGTATTGAGTCTTCGGCAATTAGCCAGTCAACTCGATGGCGATGAAAGTTCTGGTAAGTTCAAAATCGTCTGTTCACCTCCGTGGGAGCCTGTTCATGAGCTTACCAAGCCCAATCCAGACATCGATACTTACGTCAACAACACCGACAGAACGCTTTTCAGCAGATTGGCTCACGCATACGAGAGTGCCGTCGTGTATCTCTTGACGCAACAACACGTTCAAGGCATTGCGTTGGCCACACTTCGGGCGTTTTATGAATCATATGCTTCCACCGCTTTTCGATGCCGCTTCCCACACTGTGAAAGGCTATCGCTAGGCTTCCCGACTGCGGAACTCCGATCCGAACACGAAACTGTCCATATTCAACGCCTATACTGTCAGATAGCGTCCTGCCAATACAGCCGCATTGGCTTTGGGAACAGAACCGCACTCAATGCGCATACGCGTAAAAATCACAACCAGTCGAAGATCCCGCTCATACCTGCAAAGGTAGAACGCAAGATAGATGCTGAAACAGAGAACATACATCACCAACAGAATCTGCAGGATCGGGCAACTCGCCCCACGCAAAGAGGAATTGCACAGGAACAGCAGGATTTACTTTTTCAGAACACCCCTGTTGAGCTCGCACGAAGGATCACTGTTGCCCAAGAACTCTTGCAGATGGACCCAAGGTTTATCAAATTCAAGGATGATAAGACTATCCCTCCTAATGTGCTGGATTCGCGAATAATACAGCACATAACACCTGATGTTAAGAACTGGAATGATCTCAAGGCTTGGGTGCGGGAACATCCTAGCTTGGCTCACGGGGTGGATGAAAGAAAGCTCGAAGTATTGCAGATCTTGCAGTTCCAGGACGATCAGGACGGGTGGGAAGATGGCGGGGGTGAGAGTACATTTCCCTCACCTGAAGCTATTTTCTGGGCAGAACGGCAGATGAGAGCAGAGCCACTCGAACAGGTCGAGGCGTCCGGGGAAGCTAAGATGGACAGTTCTCAGAACCCCAGAAGACCGCCTTCAGAGGATTATACCAAAGGCTCTCCAGCGGACGCAGCCCCAAAGACGAGCCCTGAGAACGCCCTTTACAGCCCGCTAGCAAAGTCAAATCAAGGATTAGACAAGAGGGAAGCGCATCTAGCACAGGAACGGGAACAGCAACTCAAGAAAATAGTCTCTGTACCCGGGTTTCAGCACTACCCTCGCCAAAGCCTCCCACCAAACTTCTTACAGCAGCAACAACAACAACAGAAACAGCCACACGAAACATTGTCTGGTCGCAGTGAAACCCGACGTTCTCCTCTCCCCAACGCGCGAGGAGACTCTCAACCTGGCCAAAGCGAGCTAAACACTCACCCGGTCCCGCCTCTTGGCTCCCACTCATCTTTCAAGTTCCGATCACAGTTGACCAACAGCGACCAATTTCCGCATATGGAGCTCGTATCACCTGAACGATCACCATCTATACCTGTGCTGGATTTTACGACTCCGAGCACGCATTTGGGTAATCGAGAAACTGCGATAAGTCCGTCTCACAGCCCTGCTGAGAGTGCGGCCTTTACACCAATGCAGGAAGGCAGGGCATCTGACATTGAGCTGTCACGTGCTCGACTACCTAGCCATACCACCAGAGCCAACGATATCTGGCCGAAGCGCGACAACGAGTCGCAGTCAGGCCATCCCAAGCAAACTCGCACTCCCTATTACTATGATGATGCCCGTGACTTGTCGCCTGAGGAGCTTGCACAACAGCAGGGACAGGCGCCACCCCAAACTGGTCGGGAGCCTTATGACCTGCACATAAAGTCTGTTCCCGACGACCCCTCCACGAACATCGGCCTTCAACGGCAATCGCCTCCAGTATCAACTCCAACCGAGTCAAGAGCAGATACCTTTTATGTATCGGACTGATAATCACGTAGAGTTCACGCACGCACGCACGCAGTGGGAATGGAATATGTCTTGTAGGATAAATGTGTATATATACATTCCAGCTAAAGCTACCTATCCATCCATTTCATCCCTCCATCTCATCCATGCTCATTCATATGCCATCGTAAATACTCGTTTCCAGTAAGACCTTCATCGCATCCACTACATTACCCCCATACAGCATGCAGCCTAAAAGCCCAGCTGCTGCCATAAACCCCTACTAACTATTCATCTTTATATAACTCCATTGCCCATGACGCACCATTCATGTGAGGAAAAGAAGTCGGGAAAGAATGATAACAACGCACTAACGCACGAACGCCTACTCATAAAGAAAGGAAATAATAGGAAATTGGGGGAAAAGGCACATGCCCGTGCCGTGCCGTGCCGTAATGTGCTGTGTACGCCCTTGGTTGATCATGTCAAGCCGAAGCTAAGAGACTTTTATGTATATGCCGTTTGAAAGATGGGAGGGATTAGGGTCCGTATTGTGAGAGTAATAGGACCCTGTATGCAAGTTGCGCCGGGAACGCTGAGAATTTTCCAACCTTTTTCTTTGAAAGTGAGTGATGTAGGGGAAGAATGTCGTAGAGATAACGGTCGTGGGGTAGGGTGGGTGGCCTCTGGTGCTGAATTGGCTCTGGGCGTCCAGCTACTTTGTGCGTCGTGGTTTCGTCCGTTAACTCAAGCATTCCCACCCCAAGCACCCGCACCCGTCTCCTTGCCGAGCGCAGAACTACCAGCAGTCCGATGACCACCAACAGGAGCCAGGTTCGGGCTACCCTTTCCGCCACTACCCCATGACAGACCGCTCAAACGCTTGTTGCTGTTGCTAGACGTGGTCGAGGCGCCGTCCCTGCTCTTGTTCAGATCGTCCTCCTCTTCCATGCTGAACAGACCCTGCTCTTCCTCGATCCTCTCACGGTTGATGCTGCTGCTGCTGACTGCGCGGTCGATACCGAGACGGCCGCTGGAGCTGCCGATGCTGGATGCGGAGGTGACGCGGTTGATGCCGGGGTGGACGGGGTTGCTGGTGATGCCGCTTTCGTCACGGGCTGATATGCGGGTGCGCGAGAGTTGCTGGCTGATCATGGACATCGACGCTTGGCGCGGGGGTGAGGCGAGGTATGGGCTCATGTCGCCTGTGGTCGGACGGTTCATGGCGCGTAACGAAGGGCTAGCTCCCGGGTGGAGGCTTGAGTTGCGAAGGGGTGAGCCGACGTGTCCGAATGCCGACTGGCCGGGTAGTGAGCCTGATTCGAATCCTCCATCGTAAGTCGGCCCTCGAGGCTTGGCCCACATGGACTGGAATCGCGAGGGAGAAGCCGTGGCTGCTGATGGTGATCCGTACTTGAGGTCTGACGCTGTTGGCGAGACTCCGAACCTGGACTGCGAGGTGCGGTTGTCGCTCTCGCCCTGGTCGCGCGAGAAGCGGCGCATCTTCTCCTGTGGTGTTAGAAGATCGCTCAACGAATTGGGCAGCAGGTCCTCCTCGAATTTGCCAATCATGTCCGTCTCATCCCATTCCTCGTCCTTGTACGTCGGTCGCGCGCCTACACTCGAAGACATGATGCCCCGAGAGCGATTCGCGGCAAGCTCAGAGTGGAGCATCCTCCGTCCAACTGGCTGCTCTACCGACTCTGGTGGAGACGACCCAAGTCCTGCAATGCCCCTCCGCAGACCATCTCCAAACGCAGAGTCATGTAGGTTTCGTAGCGCGGGCGAATCGGCTTGGTACGAGGACGGCGGGGAGTTTGCGAGGAACTTGGCGGGTACTGAAGACGCAATGGGGCCGTATCGCGCCATGGTCGAGACACCCTGGCTGTCGAAAGACGCCGGAAGTCCCACATCCATCACGCTCAATCCCTTCTGTGTCGGCGATATCGGGAGTCGGCCGTTCTCGTTTGGCGGCGAGCCATAGTTGGAGCCTGGGTGGGAAGAGAAGGTGGTGTCGATGGTCGGGATCATGTCGTACTGGTTCTTCTGGTTCGCGTACTCGTCGGGCATGGCGTACGGGTAGCCTGGCTGCATACCGCCCATGTGCGCCTGCATGGTAAGCAGCGAGCTGTTCATGGGCATCTCCTGGTGGTGTGGAATGTTCATGCGGCTAAAGTGGTTACCGGCGTTTCCGCGGTTCACGACATGGCCGTTGGGGAGGATATGGGCGAGGGCGCATTTCTGGCCGAACTTGCAGTTTCCCTGGTACAGTAATTAGCGATGATTCACCTCGTCCCGCACATGTCTTACCTTGGTGAAGTACTTGCAGGGCGCCCGCTCCGTCAGCGGCTCGTCCGAGTGCAGGAACGGACACGCCTTGCCAGCCTGACATGCGCCTTGCCGGTAGAACTTGCAGGGGACGTGTGAGGTGTTCTTGTTGTTTGGGGGGCTGCGCGGGCCGGCAAAGCCCATCTCGCGCAAGTTTGCCCTATGCTCGTGGCCGTTGGCGCGCCCGCCCGGCACCGCCATGGGCCCATGGCCATTCGCGCCCGCCATTGCGCCGTTGGAGTGCTGGGGCCGGAGGTCGCGCGAGGCACGTCTGGCTATCTGCGGCGGGGGGTTCGACGACTGAGACTGAGGCGCGGTGGGCGGGTTGAGCTGATGGGAGAAGGGTCCGTGGTGTTGGAGATGCTGTGGTGGGGGCTCTTGGTGGGGTGGCTTGTCTCGGACGTCTGAGGGAAAATTGGTCGGCGCAAAGGTAGCCATAGCTCTGCAAATTGTGGTAGCGGGCCTCGGGCCTGGGTCGGCGGTCTACCTTCGGCGAAGCAGTGAGAGAATTTCCCTCTGAGCAGCGAAAGCCGAGAAAGAGACTGCTATCACCTGCGCCCGTGAAGAGGTCAAGCTTGCCGCGCAAACGCTAGTATCTACGCGGTAAAGGCAGATGCGGCACGTCGCTTGAGGCGGGAACAGGACATGCGACAATCGAAGACGGGAAGACGAATGAGAGCTGCAGCGAGGTTTGGAGAAGGAAGAAAAAGGAAATTCAAAGCTATGCTGGAGAATGATACGCCGGCTATATCGATATGCGCGCACCGCGTGGAGCTGCAGCCTCAGCGGTTCGCGCGTGACATGGAAATCCGACGGCGCCGCGTGACGCCATAACAGGACCCTGGACGTCGACGAGGGAAGTCGCCGTGGAGAGCTTGCACCCACGCTACGCGTCGTTCCTTCCGTGGCTGGCTGCCGACGCGTCTTCGGATGCCGTCCAGCTCACATGGCACCTGCCGTCTGAAACACCTTGGAACACATCTCGGACGACGATTGCCGTGGACGGCCAATGGACGCGGATGGAGAGCTCACGCCTCATTGCAGCGCGACGGTCTAGCCGTCACCTGAGGCTTCATCACGGTCATCTGCGAAGGAAGTGGCGCATTTCATGTGGGCTAACTTCATTCAACTCTCGTCTAGATATACTGCTCACCAAGATATACTATGCTAATCGTATCATCGCCACCTCTAACAACATATTGTATGCCTGATGAGATGACTTCAACCTCGCCACACCCTAGATCCACACTAGCTGTGTCCTATCCGTAGTATACCCGCCGAACAGGTGTTGTTGTACCATTCCATCTGCAGATCATCCATCATGTGCACTTGCGGTATACCCAGATTGTATGTGTAGGCATTGAACTGGATACCAGACAGCGCGCGGAAGTCGTCGTTGAAGAAGATCTGAGTGAGGCGGCAGTTGATGTAGCCCCAGCATGCCGGGATAGTCGCGTTTTGTTCTGCGACGAGCACTTCTTGTTGGAGAGTGGTGTCGTAGCGGTAGCCCGATATGCGCAATGTGCAGGGCGTGAGACCGTTGAGAGCGCAGCCAAAGTGAGCGGAGTACGCGTTGAACCAGTATGCGTTGACTGAAGCTCGTGGGCCAGCGCCGAGTTCGCCAGGAAGCATCGTGCCCGCGAAAGGCGTGTTGGGAAGGAGCCGCCCGGTCAGAGGCAGGAACATGGCGATGTTTGGCTGGGAGATTGCGGGGTATGGCTCCCACATGTCAGGTACGTATGTGTATCCGTTTCCGTAGAAGAGATGGTGATAAGGGTTCTTCATGCCGCTGGCAACGAGCAGTATAGTGTTGTCATCGTCTCCAGTGACCGTGTCATCGAAAGTCAGCGTGAAATTGCCCGACTCGCCGCACGATGAAGGTCCTGGTGCATCCGGAATAGCCACGGTCGTTGTCGCAAGTATCGTTGTCTCTAGCGTTGGGGTGGGCACAACAACAGTAATTGGAATGTCTTGACGCTTCGCTAGTGATGTCGTACCTTCATCCTCGTCTTCAAACACTGTCGTCACTACCGTCTTGAAACGTCTGGATCGGGATGAGAAGATCTCAAAGGATGGCAGGGCGGAGATCGGTGTCTGGCGCTCAGTCCGTGTCGTCAAAGGTATCGTTTGGAGATCTGAAGGCTCTGGTCCAGTCACCGTGGGATATATTCCTGTCCAATACGACACTGTCGTTGAGATGTTGGGTGACGGGAAGACGAAGCTGATTGCGACATCCCCATACGATATCACCTTCGTCATAGCCCGAGCGCTAAACAAAGACGTGGCGTTAAAACCTGGAGGAGCAGACGACGTCGCTAGCGGGGAGGTAGTTGTCGTCAACGTCAATGTAGAAGTCAGAGTGCTTTGTGAAACTGGGGTGGAGCTTGATAGTGAGCTGGATACGGTACTGGCGGTCAGACTCGAAGTCAAAGAGCTTTGCGAGATTGAAAAAGAGCTCGATAGTGAACTGGACGAGGTAGTAGCGGACGGAAGGCTTAGGCTACTACCAGACGACGTAGAGCTATCGGCCAAAGAGCTAGAGCTAACAGAAGAACTTGTCAAGGTAGCCGAAGTCAAAAGCGTAGAAGAGCTAGACGTCAAGTTGAAGCTCAGACTCGAGGACGAGTTCGTAATCGGGAATAGCGTAGCAAAGCCGGTGGAGGTATTTGGACCGGGTATACTGGTTACGGGCTCATTTGGCAGACTCGACGACGGTGTAGAGCTGGATGTACTGCTTGGAGTGGATGACGTAGTCAAGCTCGATAACGTCGTCGGTGCCGCAATGGAACTCCCGGTTGAGGACGTCAAGAAGGGCAACGAAGTGGAACCTGTCGATGGCATAACGGAGGAGCTACCTACACTGGTAGGAAGAGTAGATGAACTGAAGCTGCTTGGCGAGAGGGGAGTTGATGTAGATAGCGTTTGAGTAAGACCTGTTGACGATGGTATCGCAGGACTGTTAATACTGCTCGACAGGCTTATGAAGGTACTTGACGATATGTCGGCGGAAAGAGTCGGTCCCGAAGTGGGACTAGGCAGAGACACGGTGAAGCCATCGCTCTGCGTGGATGGGAAAACGAAAGAGCCCCCGGTTGTTGTCGATGTACCGGGGCGTAGGGAAGCCGAACCACCGGATGGACTTGTGGACGTTGTAGGTGCACTAGAAGTCGTCGGTGCGCTCAAACCGGTTGGTAGCGCCGAAGATGTTCCGCCAGGCGTGCTTGGGAGTATGCTTGAGCTCAGACCCGGCATATTGCTTGATGAGACGACTGATGAGGTGATAGTATTCGATATCGGAGAGACCGTAGAGGGCGATATGATTGTAGACAGAGTAGAGACCGAAGTAGACAACCCGCTACTGATTGTGTCATCGCTCTTTGACGCAGGAAACGACGGATAAGGTCTCTGTGGTTGATTGATAGGCCGAGGTAAGCTCGATGTCTCAGATGATGTTGAGCCCAACAAAGGTGAACTTACAGACGACGAAGTCGATAGAGCCGGTAAGGACAGAGCCGATGTAGTCGGTCCCAACGTTGAAGACACGACAGCAGCGCCAGAAGAAGGTATACTCGTCGACCCTACTGAAGAGACAATTGGCGTAACATCCACCGTCCTGGTAGGCAGCGTACTGAACTGACTCGGCGGCGCAATACTGTCCAACCACTCCGTCGTACTATTCACCACAGAAAAATAGTAAGTGCCTTCCGCTGGATTGGTTGGCGATGCACCAACGAGGGAGATGGTAATGATCGGCCCGGGGACAGTGACATAGACGATACTGCAGTTGCCATCGACGCCTTGAGCCGAGACACCAGGTATTGCGTTGAGTAGGATGTCTAGGGCCACGTAGCCACCGGCCACGACGATACCGACGAAGGCAAGTGTTAATATGAGGTCCTTGGACGTTTGCTTGTCGGTCCAGCGTATCCGGGTCAGAGCGACGAAGAAGCGGTAGATCCATTGTACGGTGCGACATGGCCACCAGTTGCGAGGCCTGAAGCCCCATCGAGGCCGGGCTGCGGTGGTAGCTTTGGGTTTGGACTGCTGCTTTGGACCTTCCCATGTACCTGAAATGACCGAGTCTCGTTTGTCTTCCGCGCCTTTGGTGCGTGAAGTCGGAGGAGCGGGCGATGAGCCAGTGGAAGGGCTGGATGTGGTTGTATCTTTCAGCGAGGTGATGGTCGGGATATGGAGCGTTTTCCCAGGGGGCTCTGTTGGTGACTGCCGGCGATCAGATGTATTGCTAGTAGATCTGGTCATGACGGCCCCATGAGCAGATGTCCACGTCGAGGGGGTGCTTGAGCCGTTCGTGTCGCTTATGGAGGACTTGTCTTTCCTTGGCTTGTTCTTGCTGCGGATCTTGTTTTTGCCCATGATGAGAGAGGAAATGTTGTTGCTATGATGCACTTGCGAAGATGTTGCTGATAGGCTGTTGTGCAATGACTGTGGTGCAAGAGGTATCCAAAAGTGCTGTTGTGGTGATGGAGGATAGTCGTACGAGGCGAGTGTATAAGCCCGGGTGCGTGGGGAGTGTACCTGCCATGATTGCGGTGAAAACAGAGTAAGCATAGACGGTAGATCGATGGCCAGAGTGAGGACGATGCGACAAGTTTGCAAAATAGTTGGAAAGCGAGATGAATATTTGTTGACCGTCCTCGGCTCGGGAGTTCGCAGCAGTTGCGATCCAGCATGCAAGAGCCCGCGCGTGACTGATCCCTCGTAGTTGACGCAGCTTGCTCATCACTGGAGGGCAGAGGTGAGGCAACCATTTGCGCTGCTTCTTCGAAAACATGTTAAACTTCTTGTGTGCGATATGTGCAGTACTCTCGGTCAAAAACCCCAGCCACAAGACTGGTCCGGAAACACTAGTGATTTGGCGTCCTCTAACGTCGACGCTTCCAAAATTAAGCTCTTATCTCCCACATTCTGATATGTCCAGCTTCGTTAGCGACTGCCAGCTGTGCGAGGCTACCTTCTCTCTCCTCCTCTTCGCTCGGCCTTCCCCATGCGACTGCTGTGATTCTGCCAAGCGGTGTCTTCTCGGTAGGCCAATTCTTGAAGACGGTTGCCGATGGAAGGTGCACCAGCCTCATTGCGTTGTTCTTCCATTGACTCGCCATGGCGAGTACCTGGCCATCCGCCGTGAATGCGAGATGCGAAATTGGTGTCGTCAGGTTCTGCAAGTCGCGTACCGGCTTCGGTACCTTGGGGATACCGCCATTCGAATCGTCTTTGGCAGGCTTGACTGAGGGGTCGTTCTCGCTCCATGCTCGCCGGTCATAAACATTGACCACGCCACTGGAACTGCCAATGGCCACCCATCGATCGCCACCTATCCAGCTTTCACGTCCGCTCTTACCACCGAGTGCGATGACTGTGGTACCCACAGCACCCTCGTCGTTCCATCTTCCTATGACGCCTCCTTCAACGCTCCACTCCGTTATCTCTCCGTTCTTGCCCGCAATGCTCATACCAGTGCCGTCGCCCCACCATGCGAAGTCAGCAACACCCCCTCTTGACTCGACGCGCACCTGTGTCGCCCACTGCAGTGTCCTTGCATCCAGAATGTTGATAACACCGCCACCCTTTCTCGAGGAGCCCCGAAGAGCCATGTATTTGCCGTTCGGTGAGAGGGAGAAATTCTCCATTGTCCGTTGTTCGTGCTGGTGACCGTATACACGCGACACCTTCTCCACTCTGCCGGTCGCGATATTCCAGACGTGGAAGTAACGTCGTCGCGCGCTGAGGAAGATGCGCGAGTCCGAGGGGGAAGGATGGAACGCTGTTGTGACGAGAGGAGTCTTTTTGATGTGCAGGGATGTGAGCAGAGGGTTCGGGTTCGGCGGGTTGGGGTTGACGTGGTGAAGGTATAGTGTTGAGCTAGGACCAGAGGAGAGGAGCAGCGGGTACGCGGGGTGGAAGGATAGCGACGTTATCGCAGACTAAGGTAGCAGTCAGTAAGAGGATTCTATACATTGGCGTCGCAATACTCACCGGGCCAGCCTTTGCGACGTCTTTCAGTCGCTGAATGTCGATAGTGCCTGCTTGCACCTTCCTCCGCTTGGCCACGCTTCTCGAGGTTTGTGACAGGATATCTGCATCCTTGAGTAGCCTGGCCAGCGGCTGGGTGGACAAATCCTCTTCATCCACGTCCATGTCGCTCGCAGACTCGTCACCACTCTCGTCATCGTCCATGTCCCGTCGGCGCTTCTTGTTAGCCTTGCCTGTCGCATGAGCCGCCCACTTTGGCGTAGGATATAACCTCTGGTATTGCTTCCGCAACCGTCGAGCATATTCCTTGCCGTTGACCATATCGTCGTCTGCCGTCTCTCGCAGCTTCCTCAGTTGCGGCACCGACGCCAAGCTGACTACAAGCCTCTCGTCGTCGCTATCTTCCCAGGCCGGCTTGCCATCGTCCTCGTCTGATTCTTCTGCCTTTGCAGCAACGGAGCCCGCAGGCGCAGCGACTGGGCCAGCATCGAAGAAGAATAGATCTTGATCTGCCACAGCGTCGAGGTCGGCCTCCTCTGCGCCAGATTCGTCCGATGAATCGCCGTATGCGTTTGCGGTCGGGTCGAGCGAAAAGTTCTCCAGACCCTGACGGAAGCCTTCAGAGTCGCCAAAGATCATGCGCTCCAGCTCTTCTTCCTCAGCATCCTTCGGCAGGACAGGCTTTTCCTGCTTCTTTTCCGTCTGGATGTCTATGCTCTCGTCATCGCTTTCCTCGTCCTGAGCCCCGCCATCGCTTTCCTCGTCCTGAGCCCCGCCATCTCCAACTCCCTCCTCGGAGCCGAACCCCTCAAAGTCATCGTCCTGTGGTTCCTTCACGGGCTGCAGTGCGCCTGCATTTGCATCGTTGTCTGAGCCCTCGAGTTCGGACTGGAATCGCGCAGGGTCTTTCGCCTTCTCGGGTGTGTAGCGCTGGTGACCACCGGACTTGTGTGAAATCGTCTTTGCGGGCGCCATTGTGGTTTGTCGTGAATGTGCAACGAGAGCTGCAGGC